TTGGCATTTCTGGTCTTGCTGAATGCCTTGGGTTTAAAAGGCTCTCAGGTGGTCTCCTTGGACTTGCTGCGGCTGTGGCTTGACTTGCTTGTGGCTTCAGTGCTTGTTCTGGCTGCGGCCTTGCTGGGGGGCCAAAGCTGACGGGTGGGCCAATTGGCTGGCGGGGCAATGCCGCAGGCTCTGGCTCAGGCAGAGGCTGGGAAGGCATGTTCACCTGTGCTGGCGAAGTTGATTGTGGCTCCACGGGCTCTGGTCTGTCCTCTGGTCTGCTTGGCTCTGCTTTACATCTGGCCACGAGTGGTCTGCTTGGCTCTGCTTTACATCTGGCCACGACCACTTGAGGAGCCTTGGCTTTGTTGAGGACCTCTTGCCGTGCAGCTCGTTGCCTGCAATATAACTCTTGCGTGCCAACTACCTGAGTCCAGCCATGGATGTGACGACTGAATAATATAATACTAATCTTTAACAAGTAAGTCTTAAAGGTTAGTTTTATTATCAAGATGCCAAGTCACGCCAAACCGTTTAAGCGTGTGTCGGAGTACGGCGCCTTCCCCCTTTTTTTCTTCTTCTTCTTCTTGCTCCGGTCCTCGTCGCCCCCCTGCTGCTCGGGCCAGTGCCGGTGTTCATTCCACTGCGTGGCACGGTCATTCCACTGCTGATCTTGCCACTGCTCATCTTGCCACTCATTCCACCGCCACTGCTCATCTTCCCACTCATTCCACCGCCACTGGTCATCTTGCCACTCATTCCACCGCGTGGCACGGTCATTCCACTGCTGATCTTGCCACTGGTCAGCCATGGAAGCGGAGCTACTACGTGTCAGTGTCTACTCGTCTTCACTCACTCTACGTTGTAAAAAATATAATTAATTAATTATGCTTCTGAGTCTGACTGAGACAACCTGGTCAACTGCGGACGCACTGTTCTTGCTGACTCAATTCAACCTTGACGCAAATCTGACAAATGGTCAACAACCGCTGATTCGATTATTGATCTGATCAAAAGCCCACTGCAGAAAACCAAACCACCCGGGTCTCCTCCTGCTAGAAATCTGGCACGACGAGGCATGCGGAGGTCTGGCCTCGGTAGTCAATCTGGCAATTCACTTAGCATGAATTTTGTATATTATTAATTGATTTGAATTTTGTATATTGATTGATTGCCTTGGGCAAGTCTCTAACTAATGTCTAACATTTTTTACAAATGTTCTTGCCTGTTTGGAGATTGGTCCCGGTTTAGGGCTCGGAGTTGGGTCTGAGGTCAGGCAGAGTTCAAGTCTGATGGCTTCGGGCAGCTAGCAAATCGGAATCTTGCGCGGGAGAGGGTGGTTCGGTTTACACTTACGACTTACATTCAAAGCTTGCGGAAGCTCCGTATTTATCAGGGGGCGTTCGTCATCGGTTCTTACGCTCTCGGCAGGGTTAGGTCTTGCCCTGAAATTCCCACATCAAGAAACACATCACAGTCTTATTATACACTGTAACACTGACTACTCAACCCAACAACCATCAACCAATGGCCAATAATATCAGTTCAATACCACGTAACTAGTTGCTTGCTGGAAGAATAATCTTACTCTGCATTGACCCTCCTTTCTAATCTTGCGACCGCCCGGTCGGCATCCTATGGACGTCTGTTGATCTTACACCTTACTCCCTACCGTCTCTCCATATAGTGACTTTGCTATCTCTTACTCGTACGACCTCACGGCCGGCGTCCAAATGGACGTCTTGCTAATTCTTGCCGTATTACGACTCGGCTTCCCAGCCGCTGTTCTTACGACCTCACGGCCGGCGTCCGATGGACGTCTTGCAAAAACGGGCGCGACCTCCCGGTCGACCCGGCTAGCGTAAATCTTACTCCTAGACCCGGGCACGACCTCACGGTCGGCCCATTAACTCCTAACCCGAATCCTTAGGCGCTCACCCGGAAACCCTCACTGAGTACTTTGCCCGGGCTCCCAGCATCACCATGATCTTGTCCAAGACGTGAATGCTCTCTTGCTTGGGCTGGGCTTGCGGCTTCAGGAGGGCTGCATGGTGGGGTTGGTTTCTTTTCTTTCGGGTCTTTGGGAATAGGGTTCTTACAATGGACTCGGGCCAAACCCTGCAAGACTCGCAAACCCCAAACCCTCCCAACTGCAGCGAAGCCGAAGTCTTGCCCTGACTGAACCTTCCCCCCTTCCCAAAACAAAAAGACACAGCAGCACGCATGATTATGATGACGATGATGATGGTGAGTATCTATATGTGTTCATATTTGTTGTTGCTATTAACTACATTCTTTATGCTGCTAACAGTTAGTAACAATGTAATTGCCTAAGCCTCTGGCTACACTATTGTCAAGTTTGTTCTTTCGACTCAACTGTTGTTTATTCTTTCTGGTTACAAGCAGAGGGATGATCGTGATATTATTGTACTCAATCTTGCTGAAACCTGCTGATTATAAAATAGTACTATTGTTCTTGTTAGCCAGTATTCAGTGTTACAACAGGCAAAACCACGAATAATCTAGCTAAGTCAAAGTGTGTATTTAATTATTCATCACTTATACGGCAGTATGTTTTGATTAGTGTTGACATCATATCATACACAAGTTCATAAAGCTGCTTAATTATTATACAGAACCACTCAAAGAAAATAGATGCATATCCAGGACACACATGTTCTGCGTCCAAATTAAGCAATCAGGAAACTGAGTTTTTTTATTATTGATACTATTAGAATATGAATTGGGATCGTACCGGTGATAGGCAGGCCCCTGTGAGAAATAGTGTGCTGATGATGAGTTATTTAAAAATTATTGTTTAAATTGTTACCACTAGCGATAGTATCACAAATTGAATAATAAGAAATAGCTAACAAACAATATACTTTATTGACAATGGCCTGTATGGACATTGATTATCAATTAGTAACTCTGAACAGCACACTAACAAGTATTCTGCAAGTTAATTGTTCATGACAGGGTTCCCATATTATTCATCTATGACTAAGAATACAAGCCATTCAGGCTTCGAATGCAAATCTATTATACTATGAGCCATTCGTGATAAGGTTAAAGTATGCACATTATTGCTAATACTTTTTAGTTTATTAGTTTTTCACATTCATTGTAATTTCACCTTTGTATTTTTTGAATATAAATATTACTAAAATTATTAATATGAGACTTAATAAATATTTGTATTTAATACATCATTAATAATACTAGTATTAGTAATATTTAATTACTAATTTAATTAGTGTATTAGTATTATTAGTTCTGTTGTTACAAATTATATTGAAATATCAGTATCATAAGTACTAGTATTTAAATAAATTTAAGTATAATAATAATTTATGTAACATTAGTATTAGGATTTAATTAGTATTAGTATTAAACAAATTAGTATTAGCATTAATATTAGTATTAGTAGTTATTATTAGTAGTATTATTATATTAGTATTAGTATTATTAGTATTATATTAGTATTCGTATTATTGATATTAATATTAATATTAATTATAATTAAATGAATATTAATTAGTTATTATTAGTATTATTAGTATTAATTAATATTAATAATATTAGAATTTAATAATAAAGGTTCGAAGGAGGGGAGGTGTTCGGCGAGGGTTCGGCGAACGCCGGCGGGGTTCGACGAACTTCGGGCGAAGGGTCGGGTCTTGCCTTTCCAAAGTGTTGCCCCCTTCTGTGTTGCCCTGAACTTTATAAAATTCTAAACATGAACCCCAGGACTCGGCGGTTGTGGCATTGCTCCCCGCCGACCTGGGCCGGATTTCCTCAAAGTTTCTGCGAGAAAACCAGGCTTCAACACAATCCCAAAGGCTCCATGTACCTTTATAGTAGATACTTAAGCCTTAAAGGGTCCCTATATAGGTACTTTAAGGCCTAAGTATATACTATATGGGTACATGGAGCCTTAGGGAATGACAGCCTGTAGAGGCAATGCTTGCGGGGAGCCTGCTTCCGCCAGCTACTGCGTAATACAGGGCCTTAATATAGAATAGGGTTTCGAGACCCATTATAATACTATACTTATAATCACGAACCCCAACATAGTATTGGTTATTACTAAGGCCCCTGTATCACCTCTTGAAAGCGCCTCATCCACGGCGCCGGTGATTATTCTGGACTCTGGACGCCACTGGAAGAGACCAGGTGGATTTCCTCCGACCCTAGCAAAAGGCGGCATCTGCTGGAACCCCTGCTGGCAACTAAAGGAGTAGACGTGTAGACTGCCTAAAGACCTAACCTCTGAAACCCAGGTACTTACTTACCAGGGTATGAAACAACCTGAATAGCATACTAGGGCCCTGGTAGGTTAGTGAGGCATCAAATGATATTGCAACAACGACTTTGTTTCTGCCGACTGCAACCGAAACCTTACCTCAGGCCCCAATAGGAACCCTAAAAGGGTAGGTTATTCAGGGTTCATACCACAGACTTTATTTAGAATTCAGGGGTTTGAGTTTCAAGGTTTACGGTTTAAGGCGCAGCATCTGAGGTGTAGGGCCTAACCCATAGCTCCATAGTAGTAAGGTAATCCCAAAAAAGGAACTTCTATGGGGCCTTAGGGTAACCTCTACAATGTCCTGCAACCCTCAAACCCCTTCAAACCCGAGCTGGGCCCTATAAAATCTTCCGTTTCAGGTGCGTGCATTCCAGTCTCCAATGCAGCTTTGTGTTTGGTTGGCCACTTCGTTTCTTACGTATGGGCTAGAAGCAACAACTAAAGCTGCCCACGCACACAATAGAATACCTGCAGCAGCGTAGGTGCACCTCGCACACGGCCTCACCCCAAATAGCCTACGTGTTTACGGTTAATAACTATCTTTTATGTAGGACCTGCAAAAGGTAGGATTTTCAGGGTCAAGACAAACCCTAAACGCTAAAGAATCGAAGCTAATCCTAATCTCCAAATCCAAAATTCTTATAACCAACCCCTAAACCCGCGAAGCCTAACAATTCCCCAAATGAAAGAGGAAAAACCACTCCGTATCGTCGGCGGGGTCGTCGTCCCGGATCCGGATATCGTCGTCTTCAATGGCCTACGCCAGTTTTAGGGTCCATAGGGTTTTTGTTTAAGAACCTGGTCCCGAAGCGTTTGGGAGAATGTTGAGACCAAAGGCTCGTTCTTGAGTCGTGCTCATCTTGCAAGAATGCCGTCTTAGACTCTTAGGGTCCACATGCGGTCTGTATTCAAGGCATTACACGAGTCGTTTTGCATTCCTGCACGACTGAGGCAGAAAATGATAAATTCGAAAACACCATGTATTTTGGAGGTTCAACTATTGACGGCACAAGCAGTGTGCCGGCTGGCACGTCAGTAGACTTCGGCTTCTATCTTCGTTGAAGGGCTGTGATGATGATGGTGACGATCATGATATTGCAACCCTATTGAAATTAACTATAGAACCCTATTATAGATCCCTTATACTAACCCTTAGAGTCCCCTTTGAAGGACCCCAGACAGGAAAAGATGATATGAACAGGGGATTAGATAACATTATAGCTAGAACTGTTGGTGCTGGCGACCACGACGACTCCGACGACTGTTGTTCATTTCCATGTTGATGTTCGTTAGCATGATCGTGGTGATGACGATGACGTCGATGATGGCGATGATGTTGCTGACGACGGTGGCAAATGGCGATGTCGATGGACATGATGCTGGAGTTGAATGGCAAAGATGAACATCATGCCGCCGGCTGCCTACATCAACTTCTATGCTGACGAGGGAAATGACGAGCGACATGCCTTCTACACCTTCTGTTATGCCTCTCTACTGGTTCACCATTCTGAACATCGCTGGTGCGCACTCAGTTCAGGGTTATCGGTATTTTTTTCGTCTTGAGGGTTTAGGGTTTTCGGGAAGTTCCGTTTCAGGGTTCTAAAGGATGTATCGGGTTGGGGCTTGAAGGAGTGTAACGGTTTCAGGGGGTTTTTCGCCTTGGGTTTGCTGGTGGGCAAGAATCTCAGGGTCCTCGCCAAACGCAGAGGCCTCTGCTACGTATCCACACTCCCTCCGAAGCCCTCAAGGGAACCCTAATAAAGGCCCAAGGTTTCTTAATCAGGTTCCTACATTATTATAGTACCCTTCAAAAAAAAAAAAATATATATATATATATATATATCCCTTATAGTAACCCTTGTAGAACCCTTTAAAGGAAGCCTTGAAGGAACCTCAAAGCTAGACCCGAAACCCTGAAGCCTAAGCCCCAGGCCCGTATAAACCCTATAAGCCCTGCCCCCTAAACCCTAAGCCCATAAACCCTGGACCCTCCACCCTAAGCCCCTGAACCCTAAACCTTGAACCCTCAAAGGAACCTAGGCACTTCCACCTGGGTGTGGTTGATCTGCTCCTGCATCTCCAGCTTCGGATTCGGCTCAGATTCATCCTCCTCTTCCTGGCTGTGACATAGGGGACCCAGAGACTCCACACGGTTTAGGGTTTAGGGTTTAGGGTTTAGGGTACTTTGAATAATATTAGGGGTCCTACTATAATGGTAAGGTGAGCTATATTCACTCGAAAAACCAGGGATCTGATTAGGGTTCCTTTATGGTCTATAGTGCAATCAAGGAATATTCCATAAATCACATTAGGGGTCCTACTATAACTTAAGGATGTATTCCTTAATGAAAGGGCTGTGGAGTCTCTGGGGACTTCACAATAGGGTTCCCCGTTCAGGGCTACTTTTAAAGAATAAAGCTTGGGGTGGTGTAATATAGGGGCCTTGATGTCTGAAACAAAATCATTTTGAAGGGGTCCTTTTCCAGGGCTGTATGTAAGGGCTACTAATTATAACTTATAACGGTTGCAAGAGGCGTTCATGGGGTGAGGGATCAAAAAAAATTAAATAAGGATCAAAAAAAATTAAATGCAAAGATCAAAAAAAATAAAATAAGGATCAAAAAAAATTAAATCACTCAAAATACAGCACTTCCTGGGGCAGAGGCATCAAACAAAATTAAAATAAGGATCAAAAAAATTAAATCACTTAAAATACAGCAATTCCTGAATTTTTCAATGGAAAACACTGGTTTCCTAGTGATTTTCTTTTGTTTCCTTAGGATCTGTTTGGTTTTTCCTCTGGAAAACACGATATTCCTGCGGATTCCGTGGTATTTCCCTAAGTTTTTCTTGATTTTTCGTAGGAAAAAGCCTTTTTTCCTATTACCTATGGCGTTCGTGTCATTTCTTCAGGTTTTCAGAAGGACAACATATGGTTGTTCCTCGGGATTATCAAATTTTCCTTCCAATTTCACATTTAGGACGGATTTCCTGTTGTAGCTGTTGCTGGTATTCCGCTTCATCATCTATTTTAAACACGCCCCTCATTGGGCGATTCTGGTTCAGCATGTATCTACCAGGGCGGAGACGCCCTCATTTGCTGGGTTTCAAAAAAGGCATATGCTTCAAAGCAACCCTGCACGGCTTAAAACAGCGGGGGGGTTGGGGGGGGCGCAGCCCCCCCCATTTGCAGAGACAACGTTCACATGATGGGCTTCGAAAACACTCTTTGAATCAAGCTTGCACGTCTCGAAAAGCGCGGCGGCGGGTGTTTTGTTCTTCCGTGCCTGTTCGTGTCTCTTCTTCCGTTAGCATTCTAACCTAATATATATATATATATACATAGTAAACCAGAAGAACGACATAAGATGGTTCGACAACACAAAAATGGTGTGACATTTTCTGACATAACAGAACCTTGCTTCTTATAGCATATAATAGCATACTAAAAATACAACAAGACACTATAACAGAAGATGACATAGAACAAAACAACATCTTAGTTTATAGTGTAGTACATTGTAACATAGTACAATACAGTGTGTATCTTTACAACATAATATGTAGTATATTTTAAAACATTAGGTTACGTTATGTTATATTATGTTACGGTACCTTACGGTATTATGGTAAATTCGACTGGGCTATGTAGTATCCTGTTGCTTGTATCTTTGTTTCTGTGATTATTTCATATTATTTCTCTTTCGTATTTTCCAACTTTGCTTTTTTAGTCTGGACTTCTTTCTTTCTTTCGCTCGTTCAGTTCTTTTCTTTCTTTCTGTTGTTCTTTCTTTCTTCATCTCATACTCCCTTCCTTTCTTTCTTGCTTTCTTTCTGGTTTGATTTATTTCGTTGATTCTTTGGTTCGTTCTTTCTTTCGTTCTTGCTTTCGTTCTCTCTCTCGTTCTATCTTTCTTTATGTTTTCCTTTCTTTCGTCCTCTTTAGATACTGCAATTTTTGAATTTTCCCAGGGGAAGACTGTTTTCATACGGATTCGTTTTCATTTCCTGAGGATTTGCTTGGTTTTTGCTCGGGAAAACACGATTTTCCTACGGATTCCGTGGTATTTGCTAGTAGTGTTGTTGTTGGCGTTGTGGTTGTAGGTGTAGTATGTTGTAGTTTTAGTTGTAGTTGTAGGGATAAAAAACCCGAGGGTCAAACACAAATTAAATAAGGATCAAAAAATGAAATACGGCAATTGCAGCCATTCAGCGTGCTTGTTTTGTCTTTCTTACTGTGTTGTTCTTATTCCCTTGTGTTTTTTTGGGTTTGCGTTCTTTATTTCGTTCGATCATTACTTGTCTGTCTTTCTGTGGTTGGTTCTTTCCGTTTGTTTTTTCTGTTTTTTCCGTTCGTTCGTTATTTATTTATTCCTGTCTTCCTTCCCTTCTTCCTTCCTTGCTTCAATCAATCTTGCCGTCATCTCTTCCTTTCCTTCTGTCTTTCTGTCGTTGAAACTGCGTCAAGCCGATTTAAGCGTCGCACCCCTAGAACCCAGGGCAAAAAAAACACCATGAAGCGATAGTCTTACGTATCGTTATTCTTTATTTTCCGCGTCTTTCTTGTTCCTTTAACTATTTCTGTTTCTCTTTACTAATTTATGGCCTTCCGTCTTTCTTTATTTCTCTGTTTTTGTTCTTTGGTTATGTCTTCATTGTTTGTTTTGTTTTTGTTTCTAACTCTCTTTGGTTCTTTCCTTGTGTTTTCTTTTTTCTTTCCTTATAGCTTTCTTTATTTACTTAGCTCTCTATTTTTGTTTTCTTTCTTTACTTATAGCTTTCTTTATTTACTTATTTCTCTATTTCTTGCATGGCTTTCTGAGTTTCTTTCTGTCTTTCCTTATGTCTTTCTTTCTTTATTTTGTTCTTTCTTTCGCTGTTTCTTTATTTCTTTATTTTGTTCTTTCTTTCGTTCTTTCTTTCTTTCTTCCTTGCCTTCTTTCTTCCTTCCTTTATTTCTTTCTATTTTTCTTTCGTTCTTTCTTTCTTTCTTTCTTTCCTTCTCTCTCTCTCTGTGTCTTTCTTTCCTTCCTGTTTCCCCTTCCTTTCGCTGATACCCGTTTAATTTTTTGTTGATCCTTATTTAATTCTTTTTTGATCCTTATTTAATTTTTTTGATCCTTATTTAATTTTTTTTTAACCCCTATCCCCGTTCATGGTTGGCAGCGGGTTCCTGTTCGGGTTCGTGTCAGGATTTCTATAAGGGTCTCCATAGGGGTCTGTAATGTTCTGGGCTCTTGTCAACAAACGTGACTTAAGCTACGCACAACCACCGCCGCGCGAACAAAGTTCGAACACATCGACGTGATGCGACACGTGCAATTTTTCGTGAAGTCGTTAAACACTAACCGTTGTTATACTTAGCTTGCAGAAGACAACAATACACTCAAAGCTCTCCGCCTTAAGCCGTGGATTCTAAACTCCAAAGCTAAACCAACCCGAAATCTTGAAGTACTTGTCGGGTATCATGGGGACTAAAGGTTAACCTTTTTAGCTATATAGGGGTTGTATAGGGACTATACTACCCCAAAAAGGCCAAAGGTTACCTACTCTACTACTAGGTTAAAAAAGTACAGTAAACAAACCCTACAAACCCTAAACCTTAAAGTACAGTAAACAGCGGCGTCGCCTCAGGCTCTTGGCTCTTGTTCGACGCTACCCCGCCTGCCATGAGATCAACGACGGGCTGAGAGGTTTAATGGTTGAAGAGTGCTGCCCTAACCCCAAGGGTCCAAGTACCTGATAATCATAGACTCTCCAAAATCCTGACCTACTTAACTACTATCCTAAAACCGAGCACCTGATTATTGGGTCCTTAGGCCCTTGGGGTAAGGGTCCAAAGGACCCAATAACGAGGTACTTGGGTTTAGCACATAGTAGTTTTGTTGTGTAATAAGTTAGAATTTGGGAAAAGTGCTATTACGTACTTGGACCTATAAAGTTGACCACAATATGTTTCGGCTGTTCATGCTATTTGTTTGGTTTAGGGTTTAGAGGTTTAGGGGTTTATTTTGGTTGGTTTGGGTTTCAGCCTTGCTGTTGCAACGGTTTGCGGCTGCAGGCAGTTTACGGCTCAGTTAAACCTCACAACCTCTATGCCCCCTAATCTTCGAAAACTCTAGACCCTTCTAGAGCACTTTAAAGGAACCCTTATAGTACCCTTATAATCCCAGAGGCTCCAAATATAGTACCATTATGGAACTAGGTCCCCAAAGCCATGATATGAATGGTCTTTTGGGACCTAATTCCATAATGGTACTATATATGGAGCCTCTGGGAACTGGTGGTTATTCAGGCTTCTATGCGAATCACATTGTCAATGAGGCTAACGATTATTGGGTCGGCTGCTAGGTTCGCATGTTGAGCAGTTGGGAGTCGACGAACAGGGTCCACATACACCACCAACATGGAATTAGGCCTCACAAGGCCGTCCTTCTTACGGTTTTTGGACCTAATTGTCGATAAAAGTAGCATATATGGACCCTCTTGGTGAGGCTATGGTTTCGAACCCCAAAGACCGAACCCCAGAAGATAGATCCATGATTAACGGACGCCTTTGCTTGAACAGTTCTCGTACTGAGATCAGAGAGTTACCGCAGTTACGCTTCTTACTAGAAGGGGTTCCATTAAGCGCAGAGGCTCGAATCAGCCTAGACCCTAGAGCCCTCAACCCGCAGACCCCTAAACTGCTCAAAACCCTGAAGCCCTAAACCCTAAACCTAAATCCTAACACCCTTAACATCACTCCACACCTGCAGCAACTGCATCCGGGAGCTTCTTCCCGGCCAACTTCTCTGCCACGTCCTCGATGATCTTGAGCACGTCCTCCGGACCTTTTAAACGATAGGGGCCCAAAAAAGCACATAATCAGGAATAAAAATCGGGCTATCCCATATAAACCCCCTTACAATGAAGCCCCATGAGGCAGGGATGTCATCGTAAAATGTTTATGAGCACGCTTTAAACGGTAAATATTAAGATACATAACTACTATCCTGAAATTAAGTACCTAATTATTGGGTCCGGACCTTTCAACCTACGCGGCACCCATACACTCCAACGCAGTCTTTGTGATGGCTACCCGGTTTCCTTAGTAGCAAAATAGATGGAATAGACCAGCAATATACCTAATTGTCATGATAAGGATACGTCTGTAGTTTACTTGGAGGGGCAGGGGACTTAGTAAGTAGATTATAAGTAGAGTTCTAAGTACCCTAAATGGAGGTCCCCCAATCATAACCCTACTTATAAACGACTTACTAAGCCCCCTGCCCCTCCAAGTAGGGCAAGTATATGACACAGGGTTTTGCGTTCAAAGTCTGTCGACCCCTGCACAAAGAACTGCATCCGAGCGGCTGTCGTCCACATCGACCTTTTCGACCTCAGCGCGGCTACCCACAGGCCCCAAAGTAGTTCCTTTTAGTGGTTCATATATAGAATCCTACCAGGTAATCCCAAAAAGGAACTACTATGGAGCCTGTGGGCAGTTGCTTCAGTAGGGTTTTGAACCTGGGTTCCTGTAGTTAATTATTCGTCTGAGGGTTGCTTTTCACGGACTCGATGACTACCTTGCTGAAAACAAGCTTTTCGGAGCTTTTCGAGAGCTGGTGGGTCGGCAGAACCGCTTGACGGCCACTACGCTCGGTTTCATGGCCACTGCGAAAAGCTGATTTACCTATGTCATTGGGCTGCTGTACTATCTAGGAATCCCATAGCAAGAAAAGCCGGACCCAGAGACTCCAAAACCCCGTAATGAAGAAATATACCTGAAATTATCGTAGGATACCTAATGTGATTCAAGGAATACTGCGGCAGGACGAAAGTTTGACCTACTCCTTCTTTCGTCGAACAAAGGCCCCTTCCCCCATAGAATCCTATCAAACCAGACCAACCGGCTACTCCTCCGAAACATTGAGGTAGTATAATTCCAAGACGGGGTATAACATACTCCGCTGGCCAGGCCAGGTAAATCGCACTTTCCGGTACTCCGCTACTCAGCAAACGGTCTTAAGACAAGAAAAGTCGATCAAAACTGTTGTCCTCCCGATGTACTCCTTAATAAAGGGATACGGTTGATGATATAGATCCTGCATTACCCATAATAAGTGGAATATACCATGATTCCCATAGTTTAGGGTCCTTGAGGTAATGCAGGGTTTATATCATCAACAGTATTGGAGTTTCTGGGGGGGCATGTCAACAGATAGGGACCCTACTATAATCCTATAGGCGCAGGCCCTACCCACTTTTTTTGAGGTACCTACTTTTCTCTATAGGAGATCCTAACCATGAAATTAGGTACCCTAAAAATGGGGTACGGTATGACCCTCTACGTGCGGTATATTCCTTAATTTACTCCATGGCCCTAAACCCTAAACCCTCAGGGTTCAAAGGACCAAAAAGAATAGGCACTTGGGTTTAGGATAGTCGTTATGCAGGTTACTATTTTGGAGATTATACTATCTTTAGATAGTTGGGCCGTTAGAGTTGGGAAGTCGGAGAGTCGGCAGATGTAGAAAGCGGTCAACCCCACCCGATCGACAAGGCTGGCACCAAACAGGGTAACCACTACAACTCCAGTGCTCAAGGAAAGCAGGGACTCAAGATATTGCAATTCTTATGATCACTACAGGTCTGCTTGCTAATACGACTCGAATTCTCAGAATTCGTGCTTTTCCTGGGTATTAATGAATATCCTGAACCCCAAACCCCTAAACACTAAACCATAAGTCCGGAACCTCTCGAGTCGAAACTGCTGCCCCTGCAAATGCCAAGGACCCCGGCTGAAGGAGCCTTTGTGGTGGTGGCCGCCTCCTGCAAACTGTCGTCCTGGGAGGCAACTCACTCAGAGGCCCATTGGACTTAGTAAGTAGGTTATACGTAGAGATATAAGTTCTCTAAATGGAGTTACCCCAGGTATAACCCCACTTATAACCGACTTATTAAGTCCCCTGGGCCTCCAAGTAGAGGACGGCGAGGACGGAGAGAGGCGGAGCGTGAGAGGGCGGGGGAAGGAGGGAGAGGGAGGCAGCCAGGTTGAAACCCTAAACCCTGCCTTAACCCCGAATAGCCTACCTTGTTTAAGGACTCATATAAAGAAATCATAATAAGGAACCCTAATAAGATAGGTTTTTTCAGGCTTAAGGTGAACCCTAAACCGGGGAGGGAGACAACAGCAATGATCAACTAAAGCCAAGTACTCGACTCCCCGACAAGATTCCTTCAACGCCTCATTGCTCTACTCTACCTATAGCCTCCATTGTAGTTCCTTCCTGGGGTTACCTTTTAGGATCCGTAATACAAAAATGGTTAAACCAAAAAAAGGAACTACAATGGAGACTATAGGTAATTGCTAGCACCTCCACAAGGACTTCAAGCTTAATAGTAGATAGAGTACTTTACATATTTGGATCCAAGTGTCTGCCCAACCCCTCTCCGGCGCCACTCAGCCCTACTCAGACAAAAACTGTAGAACATCGATACGAACTAGACCTTAAGCCGTGAACTCTAGACTAGACTCGTAGCTACCCTGTCGAGCGGACGCCAAAGCCTACCCTGTCTGCAAAAGCGCATAGCCACATCTCCGCCTCGAGCGCCTTCCCTGAGGGTCAAAATGAGCCAATAATTAGGTACTCGGTTCTAGGATCGTAGTTATCTGGTTAGTATTTGGGAGAGTTTCTGATTCTTGGGTACTTGGACCCTTAAACGGACCCTTAAGGCTTGTTAATAGCATGTAAGGCCCGGGCGACCACTTGCGAGACGCTATGCACCGGATCCGGCCGGTAAGATCGCAGGATCTGACGTAGGACCTTCTCTTCTTAAAGGGTCCTAAGTACCTACATGGTAGAATATGGGCTTTCTGTATTAGGAACATTAATTATCATGATTTGGTGAAGTATCCCCCATGACAGTACGTAGCACCCTTAAGGCCTGTCAATGCTAGAAAGGATTGGGTCTTCGAAAGGTAGGGCCTTCCCTGGTCAAGTCTATGGATTGCGTCTGGGAAGGACTGCGTGATTTGTTGAAGGATGGACACGGGTCTAATATCTAGCTGTGAAGCTTTCATGTCTGACTAAGCCTCTACACTGATATTTCAATGACTTAACTAAAACCAAACTCTGCGAGAAGCAAGAAACCCTCGAATATACAAGTCAGATTCCGGGTGTTAATTTCACGGTAATACCCTGAACCCTCCTTCGCGATTGAGCGTAAGTGGTCGCTTGGGCTGGATCCTAAAATAGGAGACTTGATAATTGAAATAGGGTTTTGGGGTGTTTTATCGGGTCCAATAACTAGGATTGGAGGGTTCACGTAAAGCATGGGCCTTGGACATTATTAGAATATGAATTTGGGTGGTGTGATAGTAGGGGGATAAAAGGGGATACCATTACCAATTACTCCGACTTCCAAAGTCCCAAGCCCTGAACCTAAAACGCTAAAGCCCTAAACCCTAAAATCCAAAAACCTAAACGACAAGAAACACAATTAGGGTTCCTTTTTTAAAGATACTATAGGGTTCCTTTTGTAAAAGATACTATAGAGTTCCTTTTTAAAAGATGCTATAGGGTTCCTTTTTAAAAGATACTATAGGGTTCCTTTTCACACTATAACCTCTCAGACCCGAAACCTCTCAGACCCGAAACCCTAGAAGTGTACCCTAAGCTCACAAGGACGCCTCCCTAAGGCTCTGCACAGAATTGGCAGTCAACGAGCATCCTTAACTAAGGCGCCCGGATCTCAAGAAATACCGAATCATAGCCTTAAAACCTGGAAGGAAACCCTAAACCCTATACCTCAAAATGAATCGGTCAATCATCAGTCTTAAATCCTACAATGACAACCCAAACCCTTTAAGCCCCCCAAAATCTGAAGCCCCCAGTCGTTTTAAGGCAGCCAAGGGTCCAAAGGACCCAATAATTAGGTGCTCGGTTTTAGGATAGTAGTTATCTAGGTTAGGATTTTGGAGAGTAGAGGATTATTCGGTACTTGAACCCTTTGAATAAGGCAGCCAAGGTGCATCGAGAGCCTTGTCGCCTGCGTCCGGGACCTTCGCAGTTTCTTTCCATGGGACCCTTTGCCGCTCCCTGAGCCCCCTGAGGCTTTTGAAGGGATCCATACCTAAGGGTTCTGTAAGGGATCTACAGGGTTTAGGGTTTAGGAATTTAGGGATTTTGGGTTTAGGGTTCAAGGTTTCGGGGTTATCGCAGATCGTATATTCTTACATTCCTAGAGGCTCCAAATAGAGTACCATTATGGAATTAGGTCCCAAAAGACCATCCATATCATGGCTTTGGGGACCTAATTCCATAATGGTACTATATTTGGAGCCTCTGGGATTATAAGGGTACTATAAGGGTTCCTTTAAAGGGCTCTAGAAGGGTCTAGAGTTTTCGAAGATTAGGGGGCACCTTGTTTTGGGGTCCGTATAATAAGGATCCTACTATTTAGGGTGCTAGCAGATCGTATATTCTTAGTCCTTGATTAAAGGGATTCCAATATCCCTAAACCCCAAGGTATTCCCTGAACCGTTCGTAAGGTTCCAAGTTGCTTCACATACCCAGATAGCAGGGCTTTAGGTGCAGCAAACATTCAGAGTAACCCTAGGCCCGAAACCATAAGGGTACAATTTGCATAGTTCTCAGCAAATACTACTTGCGTACCCGGGTACCATGGGCCTGAGGAAAATGCCCCATTTAAGGAATCCACAGTGCAAGGCTTATGGCATGTTCTTGAGGAGGGCTTTTGGGTTTTTTTGGGCTGTAGACCGCAGTGATCCTAATCTCAAGGCCCTCAAGGAAAGGTTGCCAGTGGAGCCTACCTTGCCCATATTCCCTCAGTTGCTTCAACACGTCCCTCAAACTTCCTCATTACCCTCGGGCTCTAAGAGCTCACAAACTCTGAAATCCCAAAACATGACGCTGAGGATCCATGTACCCAAGTAGTATAATTATTCTTTGGGCTCAACGTACCTTTCTAGGGACTTTACGGCCGGAGTATATAGTCTTTGGGTATTTGGAACCTTAGGGTGATTCCTTCTAGCTTCAGGTCGAGGCACAGCGCAGCCAAAGCCATGCCCCAAACCCCAAGGGTCCATCTACGGTGGTTTGCAATTGAAGGTTTCGGGGCGTAGCCAAACCCAGATTCGAAGCTCCGAAGGTTCCGGGTTTAGGGTCTTGAGTTTGGGGTTTAGGGGTTTTGGGTTTAGGGGTTTAGGGTTTTGGGTTTGGGATGGTTCGAGGGTTTAATCAGGGCGAAACCGGTAACTCGGAAACAACAAGTAGCCGCACACCCTCCTACACCCTAAACCCTAACCCTATACCTTGAATCACAACACAGGGCCTAAACCTGCAGGCATAAGAGGGTTTAAGGCTTATAGGGTTTGGGGTTTAAGGTTTCGGGGATCTTCTTACCAAAGAGTACTGTATAGGGTTCATAAGGGATTAAGGGTTTCGGGGTTTAGGGTTTATATAGGGGTTTAGGATTAAGGGTTTAAGGGTTTAAGGTGCAAGGGTTTAACCCAAATGGTCCTAAGTACCGATATGGTAGAATGTAGGGTTTCTATGTTAGGAGATACTATTATGATTTGGGGAAGTATCACCCATAACAGTACCTAGGACCCTTTGGGTAAGGGTACTTTTATAGGAACCGAACCGCCCTGAAGGGTACATTTCCTGACCCAAGGCTGTCTCGATTTCACAGTCAAATATGTGTAGGGGCCTTAATAAAAAGAATAGGGTTCCTTTAACAGGGTTTCTGAGAAAAGGGGTTGCTCTAAAGGGGTCCATAAGGGCTACTATAAGGATTCAGTGTAGGGGCCTTAATACTTAGAATAGGGTTCCTTTCAAAGGGTTCCTTTAAATGTAGGGGCCTTAATAGTTAGAATCTAGAATTAAGGTTCCTTCAAAAGGGTTCCTTTAAAAGGGGTCCAGAAGGGCTACTATAAGGGCTACTATAGGGGCCTCAATTTAGGGTTCCTTTAAAAGGGTTCCTTCAACAAAGGTTTCCTTTAAAGGGGTCCATAAAAAGGCTACTATAAGGGCTACTATAAGGATTTAGTGTAGGGGCCTTAATAATTAGAATAGGGTTTTGGGCTCTTTTTTTAATATGGTTATAGTAAGGGACCTTAAGGAATAATATAGGTAGTTATTTAGGCTTCTATGTTGCTGTGCCTGCGGGTCGGCTCTGTCCAACACCTCGCCGATGGCCTGAAGATTGGAAGCTTGCGGTTTCATTTGATCTTGGGTAAACCTCAAACCCTGAAACCCTAAAACCCGAAATAAACTGCAAACCCTAAACCCTGAACCCCTAGATAAACTGCAAACCCTAAACCCTAAAACCCTTAATAAACCGCAAACCCAAAACCCTAAACCCCTGAACCCCTAGAATCCTAAGCTACGAGCCCAGCCGTAGAGTAGATCTCCGGGGTTAAGAGCTTACCCGACGAGTTATCTCTTAGGATAACCTGTGGCCGGAATGACCCACCTTTATAGGGTTCATTCTTATGGTTTCAGGATAGGTACGTCTTCTCGGCTAAAAGGAAGAGCTTACCCGATGGGTTATGGAGACTGTCAGGCTTAAACGCTTCATTGGAGGAAAAGCAACCCACGACTTCCCACGTTATACATCCTCTAAACCCTAGACCCTAAATCCGAAACCTCTAAACCCCTAAACCCCTAAACCTCGAAAGCCCCCAAGCCCCTAAACCCCTAAGCCCTAAACCCTATAAGCCTGACACCCAAAACCCCAAATAAACCCCAAACCCCTAAACCCTAAACCCCTAAACCCTAAACCCCTAAGCCCCCAAACCCTAAGCCCTAAGGTAAATGAGCTCTTTGGGATGCTTGACCTGGAGGAGCAGAGCCTGGGTTCTCCTTAACCCAAAGGGTCCTATGTACTGGTACTGTTGTACTGTTGATGGGCAAAATCCCTAGGGCTCCTTTAAAGGGATCTATAAGGGTACCTTTAATGGGCTCCTTTAAGGGATCTTTAGGGTTTAGGGCCAGGGATATAAATCCTGCATGACCTTAAGGACCCTAAACTATGGGAATTATGGTATATTCCTTACTATGGGTAATGCAGGATTTATATCAACAACCGTAATTGCAGTTGCCATAATAACGTTGGGAGTTTCCCACAAGAAGGGGGGCTACCTTATTTTGGGGGGTCCTTATAATAAGGATCCTACTATTTAGGGTACTAGATGAGGGTCCCTCTTTGCGGAAATCCCCATTTAACTCAGACTAAGATCCCTAACAAGAACCCAGGATTTTGACAGTTGGGGATTTACAAGTGTCGGCCTGAGTGGGTGTTGACAAGAGGTCGGAAAGAGTTAATGAATACCATAGCCCACACCCCTAGGCCACCGAAAAGCCCGAATCACAACAGCCTGCAGCATTGAAGCCATTCCTACCGACCATGCAACGTCGACCTGCCCAAATCACTAACCCCAAACCTCTAAACCTTAACCGCTAGTAACCCTAAACCGAAGCCCTTGACCTTAAACTTCAATCCTTAAGTCGAAGTCAGCCCTCGGTCAGTCTTCGGTGCCTCTACGACTGCCTCTGGCAAGTCCTTCAAGGGCGTCCTGGGCAAAGCGAAATTAGGGCGTATACGGCTTTTAAGGTTTAGGGTTTGAGGTGCCCCGGGCTGAAACAGTTTCGAATCCTGGCGGCAACGATGAATCCACGTACCACGAGGCTACAGTGTGGTGCAGATTTGCACTGCAGGTTTGTCGAGGCTAGGATTTAGGGGGAGGGTGCTGAAGGTTTAGGATTCAGGGGTTCAAGTGAGTTTAGGGTTTATGTGGGAAGTTGATGTCGGTGGTTGAGGGCTTGGGTGCGCGGGTTACAGCATCGGCCTGGGGTTACCACCGAGAGAATCAACTAGCAACCGAAGCCAAGCTGTCAGGTGATGCTGATGGGCCTCGTTCATCCCACTTCTTGACCTACTTGTCGGGTATCATGGGGAGCTAAAGGTTAACCTTTTTGGTTATATAGGGATTATATGGGGACTATACTACCCAAAAAAGGGTTCAGGGTTACCTACTCTACTACTAGGTTGAAGCTTGGTCTTTTGGCTGATGGGCCATAAATTTTACACAGACCGCCAATTTCAAACGAGAACCCTTTGGTTGTATCCTAGGGTACCCAGTAACCTAAGAAAAAAAAGGCCTCTCTTTTTGGTAGTGGGTAACTTTATAAGGAACCTAGGACTGCAAAAAGGGAATAAGGGTACTACTGGGCATCCTAGTATCTGTTGTCCTCTCTGTACAGATTTCTTGCAGATGAACTGCACAATGGTTCCTGTCCGGTTGATCTGCTTGCCTGCCCTAAGCGGTTTAGGGTTTAGGGTTTAGGCTCCATGTACCCATTTAGTATATACTTAAGCCTTAAAATACCTATATAGGGACCCCTTTGAAACTTTAAGGCTTAAGTCTCTGCCATACAGGTACATGGAGCCATTGGTTTTTTGCTCCATGGCAGCTGCTAGATCAGCCAGGTTTTGCAGCAGCAATAATAAGGGTGCCCTTGTTCCTACTACTTGGCTTTAACAAGGGAACCTCCAAAGGCAAAGGCAAAAGGGTCACTACAACTGGGGAACCTAGTCAGCTGCACCCAAGAAGGTAACAATGGCCACGAGTGTTGCACATGACCAACCGATCATGCGAAGCCGACTGGAGACCGCAGGAGCCGCATGGCAGGAGAACGTGGATACCGAAGGAGCCCTCGAGAATCCAACACGAGGTGCGCAACACAAATCGAGAGGTGTTGCGGCCGTCGCGATTGCGAAAGTGGCCAGCATCTTATCATTGCCGGGCCTAAACCCAAAACTCTAAACCCCTAAACCCTAAACCATCTGCCAGGAAGCCCTCAAGGTCCTGTGATCTATCGGCCTTATAGCTAGACGGCTCTGATCCATGGGCCTCATGGGACTTTCCGAAAAGTAGGGGTACCTTATTTTGGGGTCCTTATATAGTCAGGTAGGGACTAGATGAGGTCCCCAATTTACGGAAAGTCCCTCATCGCCATTCCCAGCCGAGGCATTGTCGCAGCAGAAGCCGAAGCATCCTGGTATCCATGTCTTCTACAGCTGACTGCGATTCGAACCAATGAGCAGATACGCCACAACCCAAACATTGACAGAGCTCGATCCTCGACGAAGCCTTGGAATCGCCAATGCGCAAGCCGAAAGCCCACTCTTCGGCCCTAACCATTATCCCTAAGCCTTGGACCTTAATTGATTAAGTGAATGGTGGCTGAATCCGCACAACTTCAAAAATACCACCTCGGCATGGGTATCTCTAAAGTAGGGTCCCTTTTGATATCACCAAGAATGGCACCCTTATAAGAAGGACCCCAAAAGGGACACTAATTTAGAGAACTAATGATATCGGAGAAATCCTATATGTAGAAAGTCTTATAGCTCCCTCTAATGAACCCTAAAAGGGACCCTGATCTAGAGAACTACCTAAACATGGACCCTTATACAGGGCTGGGTACAGGATTCTGGGCAACTCCCCAAAATTCCTAAACTGTAGCCGGACATTTCTACCACATACGGCCAGCTCTAGCCGTAAGGGATAAGGCTCATAATCTAACAGTACAACATTGAGCCCTTAGAGCTTTAGTAGGATAAACTCCACCCCATCGCCTAAACCCTAAACTCTAAACCCTAAACCCTGAACCCTGAACCCTAAACCCTGAATCCTAAGCCCTAAACCCCGAACCTTAAACTCTCAACCCTAAACCTTAAACTGTAAACCCTAAACCCCAAAGCCTAAACTCTAAACCCTAAACTCTAAACGCCAAACCTTAAACTTTCGAGGGAGCTGCTCCACGACTAGCCGGACGGTTGCCTTTGCCAGAGAGGAGCTTGGGTTGATGGCTCACGGTTCGGTATAGGGTTTTAGGGCTTAGGGTTTTTAGGTTGCAGGGTTTAGGATTTAGGGTTTTAGGGTTTAGGGTTTTTAGGTTTTAGGGTTTAGGGCTTTTAGGCTTTAGGGTTTAGGGTTTAGGGTATTAGGGTTAGGGTTTTAGGTTTTAGGGTTTTCAGGGTTTTAGGGTGTAGGGTTTTAGGTTTTAGGGGTTTTTAGGGTTTTAGGCTTTTAGGGTTCAGGGTTTTTAGGGTGCAGGGTTGAGGATGGTTTGGGGTTTAGGGCTTAGAGTCTTAGCGTTTCAGGCTGTAGGGTAGAGCCTTTAGGGTATTGGGGCTCTGATATTGCAGGGTTGTCACGAGTTTCTGTGCCGGTAGGGTTCAGTATCCAATCATCCTAAACCAGATAAGAAAGTCAGTAGAGATGGCAGCAACTCTACCCTAAACCGGCACAGACTGGACACGCACATAAGTCCCAGGGTATCGGAGTTCACAGTGCCTGTTGAAAATACATGATAGAACATAATAGTATACTATCGCATCTTATTCTAGTAACTGATAGTATGTAAAAGGAAAAGGATTTTGTAACGTTTTGAAACCTAAACCAATCTACTTGGAGGGGCAGCGGACTTAGTAAGTCGTTTATAAGAAGGGTTATAATTGGGGTAACCCCATTTAGGGTACGTATAACTCTACTTATAACCTACTTACTAAAGTCCCCTGCCCCTCCAAGTAGACCCTAAACCCTAAACCCCATGGATCCCTTTAAGGAACCTTATAGATCCCTTTAAGGAGCCCTTACTAAGTCCCCTTAACCCGAAAGCCCCACATTCAGATCCCTTTAAGGAGACCCTTACACTCGCAGAGGACGCACCAGCATCGACACCAGTTACGTTGCCATTGAGGGCCCAGAGACCAAGCCCGAAAGCTTTAACACCAAAACGGTGCCTTAATCAAACAGAATAGGGTTCCTTTAAATGGGTCTATAAGGGGTATTATAAGAGCCACTGTAAGGGTTTAGTATAAGGGCCTTAGCAATCAGAATAGGGTTTTTGGGGGCTGCTTATAGTATAATCATGATACGGAACCCCCGAAACCCCATTCTAATTTTCTGAAGCCCCTAGACTACACCCCGAGGCCCTGGGCCAAAACAGCAGAAGTCCGAAGGGTCCGAAATCAAGAAACAACAACGCCCACAAACAACAACAAACGAAACCCGAACCCTAACATACATAACAAGCTAAAGCCTAAAGCCTAAACTCCAAACCCTGTAAGCCCCTAACCCTAAACCCTAAAGCTACTAAAACAAGTCAGAAACAGTAAACCAACTGCCTCGCCGGCTGCCCGGGGAAGCGCATCGTGCGTTGAACGGTTGAGCACCTCACGGGCGAAGATCGTATCCCACAGGGGCCCAGGTGCTCTGAGGGTCCTTTAAGGCATCGATAGGTGTCCCTTTAAGGGCTCCTTGACGGGATCTTTCCGAAAGGTGGTAGGTATCGTTATGGGGGATATTTCCTCAAATCATAAAAGTAGTTCCTAACATAGGAACCCGAGGCACAATCTACTACGTAGGTACTTAGGACCCGCTGGATACAGGGTTGGGTTTACAATAATGATGTGCCCGAAAGCCTGTTCTTATTGTCATAACGGCCAAATAAAAGTGTGATGGAGATGCTATGAGGGCCCTCTCCAGCTTCAAGGGGAACCCTGATGCGTAAATTTGACTTCTTAAAGACTCAATAGGAAGATCCCGTTTAACGTCAGTGTCTTAGGGAGAGGGTGTTGTTCATCTAGGGTCTGCAGCAGTGCTTGGTGCGGCTTTACAGGGTATGCATAAATGCTTTAGAAAGGTTTGGGGTCCAGCTGACGGACTTTAAAGGAATCTGTGGGCTGTAGAGCTTTGTAGTTTTCTGGGTTGTAGTTTCGGGGCTCTGAAAAGTATTTATGAATAGGAACCAGAAGGGAAATTAAAAAGTTTCCCAAATTGCCACCTAGTCTTAGGCTGTTCGGATGCAGGATTCGGAAGTTCAAAGCGTACTGGAAGAAGCTAACATAGAGCTCTACAGGGCTCAGTGGCTTTGAGCTGTTGCCCGGGAACTCTAAACCCAAAACCCTCAACCCTGAAACCCTAAACCCTAAACACTGAAACCCTAAACCCTAAAACCCTAAACCCTAAACCCTCTGCTACCCGTCTCCAGTCTTAAGGGGCTGACAGGGTTCGTGGTTTTCTAGGCTTCAAGGCTTCAGTCTGGGGCCTTTGTCGGCAACGAGCTAAGCAACACATGTTCCAAGCATGTACGGCTCTAGGCAGAATAGAACTAAATCCGAGCTATTGTCTCGGAACTGCTCATAGTTATCACAATTGACAATAGGGATCGTTAGTAGATGATACGGCTTCCTTATGATGGTGCCTTACTATGACCCTGAACCCTAAACAAGAACTTAGACTCTCGGCCCAACATCATATGTTTCCACACTATGGTAACTCGAACTTAAACTCCTCAACTCAACTCGAAGTCAAGGGTCATACGGTGGATGGACACAGCGCGCATGACCACAAGTATAGAGTATAGTAGTCAGAAAATCCCATAGTTTAGGCATATGGACATATAAGGTCATGCAAGGTTTTGTCCATCAACAGTGGGGCTGGTCTGGACCCAAATCAGTTGTCGCCCAAACCGACAGCCGGTGCCTTGAACCGAAACAGTCTCAGGGTTTAGGGTTTAGATTTGGGGATGCAGGCTTATGAAGCTTGGGGATTAGAGTCTAGGATTCATGACTCCCAAAATGTTTCGAGACCTTAGTTGGACAAGGCCGAAGATCAGATTGCCAGAAGAATGGCCTATGTCGACCATCACTCTGATCCGAAGCAAGAACTCAAGACCCCCACTTATTCCAGCTTCCTTCCAGGTAATGACACAGGGGCCTTAACAATTAGAATGGGGTTTGGGGCCCAATATGCTATAACGATAATAAGGAACCCCCGCAATTCTAACAGTAGACCTGTACACCAAGGGATCAACGCCCGAAACCTTAACTCCGAAGAGCCCAGAGCATGCGGCTGATGATACAAACCCTGCATTACCCATATTCTTTAAAGGGAGCTATAAGGGTACCTTTATGGGGTTCCTTGAAGGGATCTATAGGGTTTTGGGGTTGTGGGGTATATATCCTGCATTACCCATGATAAGGAATCTACCATAATTCCCTTAGTCTAGCGTCATTCAGGTAATGCAGGATTTTTATCATCAGCCGTAGTATTCAAGCCATCCAGAACTCTGTAAAACACGAGCCGTGACCGCCAAACTTTAAAAACTTACTTTGTAGACCAGTATCGCAGGGGAACAAAAGTTAACCTTTGGGGGTTTGTCTCGCACCCTAAGAAGGCTAAAGGCTTCCTATTCTGCTGCTACGACACCCTTAAACCAAAGCAAACACCGTAAAAAGTCCAAACCTAGAACCCTAAACGACTGAATCCCAAGGCATGGAAAAGGAACCCCTAAAGCCCTAAACCCCGAACCCTAACTCTAACCCCTAAACCCCTAAAATGCACTTAAAACCCTAAAACCCCTAAACACATTAAGCCCCCAAACTCAAAGTTTCAGGGCGAGGAGCTGTGGCCACGACATGTTGAACCACGGAAGGAATATCCTGGCGTAGGACTGTACCCTAGGGCTCCTGGACCCTCGTAGTGAGATCCCAAACCTTAGCCCCCAAAGCCCAAACCCCTCCCCCAGAAAGCCCATGACCCTCTTAGGAGTTTTTTTGTGGGGCTTCAGCTTCAAGGTCACAGGGTCCATCGCTTCGGGGTTTGAGGGTTTAAGGGGGTTTAGAGTTTTAGGGTTTAGGGCTTCAGGGCTTTCAGGGTTTGGAGTCTTACCTAGAGTCTTGAGGCTGGAGGGTTTTAGGGTTTGGGGATTGGGATCGATCCTGAAACAGGGTTCTAGGTGCAGGGAATCCAAAAGCCCGCAAGCCCCACTCTAGGACTCCCAACATCCTGGTAATACCCTTTTTGGCATTTGGTTCAGGGTGTAGGGTTTAGGGTTTTGGTATAATTTTATAAGGAACCGAAGACCACCAAAAACAAAAAAAGGGCCCACGGGGAGACCTAGTACTTGCTGAGTGCCCCGGCTCCAACACGGGATGGCCCTTGATTTCTGGGACGGTCTATGTGCATCTAACTTATACAAATCATGTAAAGACCATTCTGTATGTATGCGTATGTATATACATATATATATATATGTATATATACATACACGAACACCCCAAACTGTCTCCATGCTTCCGGCTCAGCTACCAATGCAGGAAGCAAGACGCCCGAATCACGATTAATAAACATCGACGTCCTGGAGTTCCGAAGATTTGAGCCACCCTAAATCCTCAACCCCAAACCCCGGGCGTTCTCAGAGTCTAGGGTGTATAGGGACCGAATTTTGAGCGGTATGCCCTCACCTGACAAAGGCGATGCCCTGGCAACAGTTGTTACTTCTTCTTAGGGTTTACCTTAACCCTGAAGAACCTACCGTTTTAGGGTTCCCTACTATGATTTCCTTGTATCAGTCCTTAAAAAGGTAGGCTCTTCAGGGTTAAGGTAGGGGTTTAGGGGTTCAGGGTTTGGGGTGCCTTCTTTGGACTCGGAAAGTATGTTTCTGCAAGTACAAACCCCAACTGAAAAACACAAAACCTCGAAAGCTCGTGAAGCCCAGAAAGTCTAAAATATTCATCCAACCTTTCTTAACAAACTTCGCGCACCCTAGATGCTCCTTCGGCGTCACTTCGTGAATGACCTGCCGAACAGAAGCGGATGTGTTTAGACTCCACATCGAACACTGCAAATGCCGTTATCCGAATTGCTCACGGGAGCTTAGTTGCTGAGTTCATAAGCCCCAAAATGTGCACACTTTTAGTTTTATAGTGGGTAATATTATCCCAAAAATTGTAAAGTGCATCCACGCAGCTACTAAGTGAGTACTCACGAAGGTTTATACAAGTGTGAAGACATGTGCACACGGCTATACACACCCATGCGAAAACGACCCTTGCGTGAAAGAACAGGCATCCAAAAGATTCGCAACATATGTCGTCAAGTCGATATAGGGGTGATGAGGAAGAGACAAGAAGCGATTTCAACATGCAAGACCTCCCGCCACGAATCCTTTTACAAACACTGCGATAATAGAAGACCAAGAACCGTATACATGAATGAAAGTCTCGCGAGGGCGTGCCCAGACTGTTGATGTGTAACTAGCCAGCAGCCAGTCCCTGTCGCGAAGCCAGCGTGCAGCTTCTTTCTGCCAGCCAGGCGTGCAGGTCTTGGGACCATACCTTCGCAAGAAGATGCTTCTGCCTTGTCCGAGACATGACCTCCTGCCATTCTTTAGGATGTAAGATTCAAGGTTTACGGTGGGTTGATGACCTCCGATTGCCTCAACCCCGGGCAGCTGACGGCATGCGGATCTTGACAGAAACAACATTGGGTGGGCATCTTATTCTATTTATTGGGTGCATGGGGTTCTTAAACTATAGGGTTCCTGCTAGGGGCGTCAAACACGAAGTATCCTATGTAGGGTCCGTAATAAGTTGGCTGTCCTTTGCAACTAAGCGCCTCGTAGACATGTTAGATCGATGAAAGCACATCTGCATCAACCACACTTAGAGGCCCAGGGGACCTAGTAAGTAGGCTATAAGTAGAGTTATAAGCCCCTAAATGAGGTTACCCACATTATAACCCTGCTTATAACCGACTTACGAAGTCTCTTGGGGCTCCAATGCTCCAAGCAAGGAAAGCAACGAAACAAGAACACATGCAACAACCACACAGCTAACCCGTCAGCCATAAACCCCGTCACACTCGAGATGTGAATTAGGAACTCAGCGTCCTAACTCGCAGGCACCGGAGGATGTGCACTAGGTTAGACCCCTGATCCCCAATGAAGCCGAGGCCCTAAACGCCCTGAACCCTGTGCCATACCCCCAAAAGCCCCAAGCCCCCAAACCTATGTACACCCTAAACCCTAAGCAAGGGGTCCTTAACCCTGAACCCTAAGCCGCAATCCCAAAGGACTCAAGTCGTCCTTAACCCTAAACCCGGTCAAATCACGATCTGTCCCGGCGCTCTGCTCCCTAATATAGGGGCCGTAATAATGAGAATGGGATTTTGGTGTATTATACTACAATGATAGTAAGGATCCCACACAATAGTTTCGGTCATTATGAAGGCCACAAATTTATAGTAATCATATATATATATATATATATATATAGATCCCATATAGTCACCTTACAGACCCCTTTAAAAGAAACTCCAGGAACTTTAGGCATTTGCCTGTTTCACGAGGGCCTCCTCGGGGGAGTCACCAGGCTTCTCCTGCAGGAAGCATGAGGGAAGGGCTTAGTTTTAAGCAGCAGCTTGGGATCTACCAAGCTCAGGGTTTCGGGTTTAGGGTTTGGAATTTTGGCTCAGGGTTTGGGGTCTCAGGTTTAGGGTTGGAGGTTTTGAGCTTAGGGTCTACCCTTAACCCCAAGGGCCACACGGACCCTTAGGGTCAGGGTTTAGAAAGCTAAGTACGTCGTGGAAAGCTTGCCGAACCATTGGCTGTCGAGCAGCTCCAAGTCCCGAATGTTGCGACATCAAAGCCGGGTTCATTTGTGAGAAGCTTGGGGCATAGGGTTCCTTAAGAAGTTCCTGAAAGGTTCCATCGGGGATCTGAAGAAAGAGCTTACTAAGCCCTATAAAACTCTAAAAGAAAACATATTCATCCTGATTGTTAAGGCCCCTAAACCCCAACATCCCTAACACCCGATAGTAAACTCAGAAAATGTTTCAACCCGACTGCCAAAGTCCCGTGATCCTCCAAGCCCGGCTTTGCCTAAACCCGAAGCACTACCTGAAACCTACCCGTGCAAGTCTCCCCTTTTTGTGATTTCCGTGATAAACGTCGTAACAAATTGGTCTTTGGAGTCCAGGAAACCCTTTGCTACCCTAGGCCTGAAACCTAATCCTTCAACCCAAAACCCTGAACCCCAAACGCTGCACTTCCCACCCTAGGCCCCGAACAAACCCTCAACCGAAACCGCAAACCTTTAAACGGGGGGTCTGGTGGGACATCGGAATGCAGCAGGTTACCTTTTTCGTCTTTCAGCGTCAAATCGTCCAAGAGCGATAGCTGAGCAGTGGGACGCAACTGCAAAAAGTCGCCCAAATGCAGAGTAAGTTTGCGGGTCCACGCGATCAGCATGGAACGACAGTCCAGCATGTTATACAAGATAGCAGACACCATCCTGATCTCTTCCAAGATCAACACTCGACAGCTCTGCCACATTGCCTGCAATCTTTGCTCCTTGGAGCCGGCAGACATGTTACTGTTCGAGAGGTCCTGCACACGCATGCAAGCAGCAGCATGCACGGTTGTAGCTCGCACAGAGGGCATCGAAATGTTCTTCGCCTGTGGGTTTTCTTGCCACCAGTCGAAGAGTCTCCTTGCCATCTTCAGGTGGCCAGATGAACAAAAGAGCAGGAAAGATCAGATTCTGCACCACGTCCAAGGATGGCACATAACCAAGAGGGGCCATATCACTACTGTTATGGAACCAGGTCCCAAAAACCATAATGGGAATGGTCTTCCAGAGCTAAGAGTAATCTAGGAATCAAAAGGGTGCCCTTTTTGGTTTAAAGGGTGTCATAAGGGGGGTTAGGTCAAGTTTTGGGTAAATATAGGGCTAGTTAATCCGAAAACAGTATTTACAACGGACCACAGAGACAACAGGCACACCTGAAATGAAGAAGGGGTCCTTGTGACGACTTAAGGTGTACTCCTTCGTTCGAGGGTTTGGGGAGCTTGTGGGTACGGTGGCATTTCAGGGGTCGATTTCAGGGTAGGGTCCATGTGTTGATGAATTCGCCGCAGCCGGCAAAGAGACGCTTCAATTACACCAGATTCATTTAGGGTTTGAGGTTTACGCGATTTGGGAAGCCACAGAACTGCAAATCAGCAAGATGATACATACACACACAGCGCGCACACACACACACACAGTCACGCAGTGGCTCAAAACTAGGTCCTTTTCCTGCAGTTGCAGTCTTAGGGACAGGACAAGCCCGAGAACAATCGCAAGTGCCTCCCACCCTTCGTCCGTCAGCGGCGCATGCCTAGATGCAAGATGTGCTTGGGCATAGTCTCTAGCAGCTTCGAATGTCTTCGATAGTGACCCTAAAAACAGGAAACTGAGTTGCTGAGTGGCCCTTCATCATAAGGGTACCCTTTTCCTACTATTCGGGTATCACAAGGGGACCCTAAAATACAAATTGCAAAAGGGTACTACTCAGGAACAGAGGAAACCACAAGCCCTGAAGCCAACCACCGCAAGCTCTACCACCTAAACCTTGAACTCAAGCCTGAACCTCGAACCCCTCCCTCAAACAGTAAAGCAGCTTACGGGAGTTTCCGAAAACCAGGGTGTACCTTGTTTTGGGGGTCCTTACAACAAAGATCCCACGGTTTAGGGTACTATGTTAGGGTCCCCTAATTTTCGGAAAGCCGCACAGACGTACAGTAAACTCCATAAAGTTGGAAACCGGATAAAGGCCAAACAGTGCTGGGATTCCCTATAAATTGCTCTTAAGGATTGAGGCTATTGGGTTTCCAACTTTTTGGCTTCTACTGTAGGATAGAATTAAGGAGGGCAGTTTGAGAGCAAAGCCTTGGTTCCTGTAAAATCCCTAAATCCAACTGCTTAAGGCCGTCTTCCCGAAAATACCTACTATAGGGGCCTGCCTTCATGATTTAAAATTGGGTTTTGGGGGGGGGGGGGGGGGGTATATTGTACTATATAGTAACAAGAAGGAATCCCCGCCAAAAAATACAGATTCCTGTTTAGGCGCCTATCTATATGCATCCTTCAATTCCCAATCCCAAAGTCCCCAAATGCCTAAATCCCCGAGGCAGGACTACTTTGAGCCCAGGCACGGCTGGACAGGCACCATGACAAAGGTTGTTGTGGAGTCTGTGGTGGTCGAAGTCGGGGCGTCTGTAGTGGTCGAGGTCGCAACTTCAGCGTCCTCTCGTTCGGAGAGGTTGTGCTTTCATAGGGCTAGGACAGGGTAGTCTGGGATTAAAATGGCTTGGGGTGTCATAGGGCTTCTGTCGAATCTGCGGGGCTTCAGAGGGTTTAGTATATGGTTCTTGCGACCAGAGATGCAGTTTTGTTGTGCTTGCTCAGGTACGGTTACGGGCTGGGATTTTGGATCCATCGCCTATGCCTTGCGGCGTGAGCCTCTTAATGCAAGGGCAGACTCCACTGAGACCTGGACCACTAATCCCTGCGTCACAGACATTCCTTAAAAAGCTCGCACATGGTCTCACCGGTGCACATGAAAAAGGGTCATAAAACAAGGCCGAATGTACATACGCTCATAATATTCCGATGGGCCCTATAAGTGCTAACCTACTTCGCATCGTCTTAGCAAGCAGCTGGATGCTTCTCGTGCAGTATGATTTCTTCCGGCTGTAGATCGGGACTCCGGACGGGCTCAAGACCCCTGACAAAACTTCTTAACTTTGAATCCTGAATCCTGACTAAACTCAGCCCTCCAACCCTGAACCTCCCAACCCTGGGAGGTTCAGACGCCGATACAAATCATATGCCCAGCGATCCGTCTTAGGGAGATCTGAAACGGAACCCCTAACCCCGAGAAGCTCCCGACACCATTGCATGCAACTCTACCCACATACTAGGTTCCCCGCTCGGTCCTCCTCCTTCTTGGCAGTTGTGCTCGGAGCCTGTTCTGTTTTTGATGCAGATGTGCAAAAGAACTGGGCCCTATGGTCCATCTTCACGACGCTAGAGGCAGATGCATTGTGCCAGACTCATAATCAACCTAAACCCTCCACCTGAATCCCTGAACACCGAACGGCCACAGAAAACATACCCCCCCCCCCGGCAACCCTGATAGAGCCTTATTCAGACCTCTACCTTGCATGCCTTATGAATCCTTATGACGCAGCCAAGCGCACACGCGTACAGGATTCGGAGCTTAAGGGTTTCGCCACCCGTCTCATCCGACCCAAACGCCTCAACCCCAACACCAATCTTGTACCGGAATCCCTTATATTATGCTAAAACTATACCAATAAGGAACTCCCAAAATATGGTATTTACTTAGGCCTCAACACCAACCTTTTCCCGGAATCCCGGGTTGAGGCTTCAAACTTCAAAAGTTCAGACGTGTCAAGCCCCCGTAGACCTAAAGCAGCTTGCCCAGGCGGCCCAGCCTCAGAATGTGCCCACATGTGTGTGTGTGTGTATACATACATACCTACCTACATACATACAGACAGACAGCAATACAGACAGGCATACTTCGACAATGCATACATACATGTCTGTATGCATGCATACATGCATGCACATAATCACATATATTATAGAGAGAGAGAGGGAGAGAGAGAGAGAGAGAGAGAGAGAGGTACTCGTACTTGACCCGCTTCCAGTAAGTTGCCTTGTCAATCTTGATCTCCGTTCGCCCGTCGGCACCTCAAAGAAAGTATGCTCCGTACGGTTGATGATATGAATCCTGGGCTCCTTTAGTGGGGAATGTAGCGGTGCTTGAAAAAGGAAAAGGAAAACACTATCGCTGTGTGATGCATCACATTTGCGAAGGTAATTCAGGAAGTTTATTGCTGATGTACAGGAGGCTCCTGCAATGAGTCAAATTCATTCAAGCCCCCCCCTACCCCCCTAATCCCCAATCCAGTCTCGAGCACAGGCACTTATTCCCTATCCAACCCGTCATCCCAAAACAAGATCGAAGCCTAAATCCTATGTGCCTACGACGCTCAATCCTATGCACCACATGAGCCCCAAGCTCTACAGCCCTACATTTCAACCTTCGTAGTCTCTAGAGCGTCTTCCGCCCGAAGCCTCAAAGCCTGCCGTAAACCCGAAACCCTACACCCTAGACCCTAACCCTGAACCCTTTGCCCTAAACCTTATGCACCCTAAACCCCTAAACCCCAAACCCCAACGCCTAAACCCCGAACCCTATACCCCCAACCCGATACCAGACATCAGACACGATACCCTGGCCCCTGGACCTGGGCCCTGGGCTCGAAGCCTCAAGCCCTAAACCCCAAAGCCCTTGAAGTTGCCTAAACCTAAACCCTAAAGCAGGGTTTAGGGCTTAGGGTTTAGGGCCCACGTGCCCAAATACTTCGGCCCTAAAGTACCTAATTAGGGACTATACTTTAAAGCCAAGGTATATACTATTTGGGTACATGGACCTTTTGGGACACCCCAAGGCCCTTTTTAGCCGCTCTATGGCGATGGTGCCAAGGGATTTAGGGTTTCGGTTTAGGGGTTTAGGGTTTAGGTGTTTCGGGGCTTGGGTTTAGGGTTTAGGGTTTAGGAGGCTTGGGTTTACGGGCTTCCACCCTCAACCTCTAAAGCCCTACAAGCCACCCTGCAAGCCCTAAACAGACCCAAAGGGTCCAAGTACCCAAATAGTAGGTTTCAAGGTCCAAAAACCATTCAGAGTACACTACTTGGGTACTTGGACCCTCTGGGAGAGGCTTTAATCAAAGGGGAAAAGGAGGGACCCTTAATGGGGACCCCTACCCTATAATGGGCTATATATATATATATATATATATATATATATATATATATATATAGCTCACGCCCCCCCCATGATCCACCCGAACCTGCTTCTTGCAAACAGTGGATCATGGGAGGTGGGCAGCCTCGGATGCGAAAACACTGCCACGCACCAATTTCCCCAAAGTTTGCAAAGCTGGAAGTGCGAAAACATCGACAGGCACCAATTTCCCCAAAATCCCCAAACTCTGGGCAACTATGGCCCGGCACGCCTCATAGATGCAGGGATTTTGGGGATTTTGGGGAAATTGGAGCATAGCGAGGTTTTGGCACTTCCAGCGTCACAAACTTTGGGGAAATTGGTGCCTGGCGGTGTTTTGGCAACCTCGGATGCGAAAACACTGCCAGGCACCAATTTCCCCAAAGTTTGCAAAGGCGGAAGTACGAAAACATCGACAGGCACCAATTTCCCCCAAAATCCCAAACTCTGAGCAACTATGGCCCGGCACGCCCATAGATGCCGGAATTTGGGGTATTTTGGGGAAATTGGAGCATAGCGAGGTTTTGGCACTTCCAGCGTCACAAACTTTGGGGAAATTGGTGCCTGGCGGTGTTTTGGCAACCTCGGATGCGAAAACACCGCCAGGCACCAATTTCCCCAAAATTCATACAGCTGAACTCTGACGGCCTCCATAGATGCCAGGATTTCGGTGATTTTAGGGAAATTGGTGCCTGGCGAGGTTTTGGCACTTCCAGCCTCACAAAGTTTGGGGAAATTGGTGCCTGGCGGTGTTTTGGCAACCTCGGATGCGAAAACACTGCCAGGCTCGAATCTCCAAGATTCCTGAAACCTGAAATGCAAAAGTCATAGAAGAACAGCCGTACCATGTGCTCATACATGAGCCTTCAATTGCTTCCGTTCTCAAGTGTGCTCTTGCTTCTTTCTTCGAACAAAGTCATAGCTGTTGTTAAGATCACCTTTGCTCAATGTAAGAAATAGAAGAACAGCTGTACTTTAGAATATTGAGACCTGCTTGTGTTTGTGGATGCTTTAGAACGTTTTTTTCCGAATGCACATGTTCGTTGAACTGTACATCATGTTTAGATGCTGTCGAATTCTTAAACTCTTGCCCGTAGCTTGAACAAAGAAGAAGTATTCCTTGTATTCTATATTACCTCACAAACTGAAGAAGCTGATAAGCTCCGATATTTCATATCATTACATAAGCTGCCATTCAGGCGACACTGGGGAACCTGGTAAATGAGCTTTCAACTGCTTCGATTACTGGCGGTACTAACTCTTCTCTCGTGGAGCAAAATCATAACCGAGTCAAGGTCAACCTTGCTCAAGAAGTAAGTCCAGTGTTTGACTGTTTTCCTTAAAGCATAATGAGAAAAGATGTTGTTTCCACCATTTCTTGGAGGCTATGAGGAGAGGTCTGGAGCTGTTTCATGCTGTATTCAAAGATGGCAGGAGCTATATAACTCTTGCGAGTAGGGCGGTGCAACGGAGCTCGATTATGTGTTCTGAGCCAGGATCGTCTTGCATCTGTTAAAAAGAAAAACAAATGTGTTCAATAACGAATGCTTTCCAGATACATGCTTGTCTTAATTCCCACGAAGTATAAAGCTTAAGAAGCTCGACATACTATGCTTGTGACCGAATGTATTTGGAGTTTGGTGGAGGGAGACCATGTCTTTCCCTAATCACTCCGATTTTGTGGTATTGGTATACTGCAAGAGCTCGTTGAGTTCCAGCCACTGAGTTCCAGCGACTGATAAGGGACTAAGGTGGCTTATTCTGTTTCTTTGTGCTGAAACAAGATTTCTATTGATAACACCACCTGAACAAGAACAACCATGCTTCCCTTGTCGGTTGAAATTTTGAAGATATGATGTTGTTCGAGGTTCCCTTGAAGCATGAAGATACACGGGGATTCCTTTCCATGTCTGATGGGCAACACCTCTGTTTAGTGTGGTTACAATGTTGCTAGTAAGCCAAACATACCACTGGCATGTTTGCTTTCACTGAAGGAGTTGTCCTTACAGCTTATGTTATGAAGAGAAGAGCAGCTGTGTCTATTCAAACTGTACATCGTAAGTAGTTCGACAAACTCCAAAATAGGAAGGCCAAGTTTTGACTTGAACAGCAAGTGCTGATACGAAGCAGTGGACAAGTGCGCGGCAGCAGAACCAGAATCCAGAACCAGAATCTGGTTTCGGTTTTGGCTTGTTTGTATATGATATAAAAAAGCGAAAAGCCGCATCTGTACATGTACATGAAATGCATAAAACAGCGCAAATACCGATAGATTCTGACTTTAGCAATACGCATCTTGTACCAGAGGACAGTACAGGAGTAGTTGAGGAGAAGGCTGGGGTGGATCATGGGGGGGGGGTGTGACCATATATATATATATATATATATATATTGGGTATATAGTAGCTATATATACCCAGGGGTCCCTATTAAGGGTCCCTCCTTTTATCCTTGGATTTTAACAAAAGCAGCCAGGGGGCTGGTCACAACTTCGACATGGCCGGCCCAACCTTGGCAAGGGCCGACAGGGTTCCCAGGAAGTCTCCGGTAGCTTTCAGACGGTTTAGGGCTTCCCGGAGATACAAAAAAACCCTATTTAATCAGGGAATCTACCGTAAATCCCTAACAAGATTTAAAGTATATTCCTTAAGGGTTTTGACTTTGGAGTCTCTGGGTTTAGGGGGTCTCTTTAGCTTTGAAAGTGTTTAGGGTTGGGCGTTTTGCGCGTGTGGTGATTGGGGTCCTACCAGGAGCTACTCTTTGGTAGGGTCACTGGAAGTTCCAGAGGGTTTAGGGTTTAGGGGTTTAGGGATTAATTAGTTGAAAACCCTAAACCGCTAAACCCTAGACGCTTTGATCGGAGCTTCAAACCCCACTCCTGAAATCCAAACCCCAGGGCCCTACGCACGACTACTAATGAAAGCCGAGAACATCTGAAACCCTAAAGCCCTCGCATTTTTTTCAGAGTGCAGGCGCAGGGTCTTGGCATATAGCCTTAGGACTGTAGGGTTTGCAATTCAGGCGAGTTTGAGCTTCTTTATAAGCTTAAGTTTAGGGTCGACTCAATGGGTGCTAATGCAGAGGTGGGAATGGTTAGCCATAAAGCCCCAGGGACCTTAGGACTCATATATTAAGGCTTTTGCGCCCAAAGACCACACTATACAAGGCTTTTGGGCTAGCTTGATGCCTAGGGAAAACTATTCTCCATCTCGTGCTTCATGGCAGATCACCACATCTCAAACTTGGGGGATTTTAAGTAAGGTTATAGAGTACCTTAATTGCTGTTATATATAAGTAGTTATAAGTACAGTTACCCTAATTATAGCCTAGTTACTAAGCCCCATGATCCTTTAAGAACTGACAAGTGCTTGGGCTTGAAAACCACGATAAGCAGGGCAACCGCTGTCAACACACCCCTTACTATCCTCGCTCCGGAGGTATGACTGCCTGCCAATATACGTCTTCAGACTGCGCTTCCCGCACTCATCTTGTGCATGTCATCTCGTACTAATGCTCCTTGGACCCTGGGTCCCCAGTGGCGAGGAATGCGCAACTACGGCCGCATCCGCTTTGAGGGTGCCTCTGCCGATCTTCGAGCAAGATGTCTCAACCACCACCGCCTTCTGATTCAATCGGACGCACGCATCGTGGCCAAGGCGGCCAAATGACGAACACAGTGAGTCTCCGAATGTACATGTTCTTTAGTACTTAGCTCAACATGAACTTGCTGCCAGAACGGTCACCGGTAACTTGTCAATGGATCAAACAGACCTATTGCTGACAAGGATACTGTCATTTAGGACTGACACTAGGCCATAAACCGTATAGGATCCTTATGGTAGTCTTCTGGCCCATTCTCCCTGTACCGTAACCGTGTAGCGGCCTTCTTCGATCCCATGACATATATAGAGGCCTAAATAACGACCAATTCTATTTTGAGGGTTCCTTCTAATAATTATAGTACAATGCCCCCAAAACCCTATTCTAATTTTCAAACCTCCAATAGTGAATAGTGGCAGGCTTCTAGGATCCCGCAACTCGCAGCTGTTGCGGCACCAAGGCCGTCGCCAGTAAGGTTAAGCTGCTCGGCTACCTGCGATCAGGGTTGGTTGGAGGGGAGATACTGTAAAGGTTCGGTTGGTGGACAAGGTCGCTGTAACGCGATTACAAGGCTTCGGTTACGGGTGACTTACGAGTGAAATACCAGGGTCAGTCTAAGTCTAAGCTTCCCTTTCAGATCTCTTTGAGGTTTTAGGTTGAGGATGTACCGAGATAAATACTGACGCATGCATCAGAAGCACCCGCCATCGCAAGAATTCTTTGCTATCGTGCGATGACCATTGCAGCGTTCATCTCACCGAGGAAGTTGCGCATATCAAGAGCTCAGAAGTCGCAACGACGACAGAAACAAGAAATGCCACGACTGAAGGCATCGTAGCCCTGAAGTGCACTGCTGGCGACGAACATTCACAGCAGGAGCTAGAGCAGCAACAGCAACACAGGTAGCGACGCTCTCCCCCATCCCTTCACTCCACCCGCTTATCGAAGAAGTCAGCCCTGCCTCATTCGGCAGTGGAGGCAGTGGCTTCGCAAAGCTCTGGTTTTCTGGCCTCGGATTTCTGGGCTTTCAATTGCCAAAAGGGCCCTTGCGATTTCCGGCAAAACCCACCTTTGCTTGGTAGGGAATGGAAGACTGGTAGTAATTACTAGTAACTAGTAGTTATAATTGCACCCCATTCCTCCATTCCCTACAAACCCAAGGTAAGAAAAGGTACCAGGAGAGACAGCACCTGAGGTGTTTCAAACATCCCACTGTTCATCCAGTGCAGCAGGCAATCACCCTACTTGTCGAGTATCATGGGAACTAAAGGTTAACGTTTGTGGGTATATAGGGACTATACTACCCACAAAACGTTGAAGGTTACCGACTTTACTAGCTACTAGGTCACAGCACAGATTCGAGATTTGCGTCGTGCGGCTTGCGGTCGTCGCAATGCTGACATCCTGAACAGGTGAAGGTACGACGATCCTGCTGATGCAAAGCTCGAACATAGGCGCTGAATCCCGAAGCACCCACCGAACCCCATAGCAGTACAATCCGGATGTGCCACATGGTTCGGACTCTAGGAGGCCTCGAAATTGCAATAGCTACCCCTCTTCTGTCTGAATTCTAAACCCTACATCTTTATGCCCAAAACCTCAAACACACCGAATCCTAAATCCCCTTCTGAACTCTGGGGCTTGAGCTCAGAGGACCCCGCAGGGCACCCTTACCCAGAAACCCAATAAAGAAGCACTCAAATTTCCTGCTGCCTATGCAAAGAAAAGGCCCGAGAACCACATCAGCACAGCATTGGAACAAAAGAACCATCCCACAAACGTCCGCTTTTGCAGGTAAATTAAGGATATCCTTGCAACATGCTTCTGCTTATGTTGATGTCATGTTTGCCGGAAAACCAAGTATCCTGAGGAGAGCACGGTGCGAAGGGCAAGATCACCTCCTGAGCTCGGCTGGACGGGGCTAGCAGGAATCAGGATTTAGAGCTGGGGTGTGTGGATTTAGTGCTTGCGGTTAAGGTTTAGGGTTTAGGGGTGAATATAGGGTTTAGGGGTTTAAGGGTGTAGGATTTAGGGCTTGGCGTTTAGGGTTTGGAGTTTAAGGCTTCGGGCTTTAGAGGCTTAGGGGCTCACAGGTACCGGCTGAAACTCCAAACGCCAAACTACGACCCCATACTACACGCCTGCCCCGATACTCGCCGATACTGGGTGCAAGCATCCAGGTGCTCGGGAGAAGCAACCTCTTGCATTGTGGAAGGTGCTTCGTTGCTCAAGGAAAGCAGCCGCTCGTTTCTGTCGTCTTCTGCGTGTCCTAGACTGGCCCTACACCCAAAACCCTCAAAGGCCCTGAACCCTAAAACCCTAAAAGGCCCTCGACTTCCCAAGCCCTGAACCCTCATAGGCCTAAACCCTAAACCTAAAACTTCCTAAACCCCAAACCCTTAACCCCTAAATTTCTGCTTGGGAACTTCGGTCTTCGGCGTCTTGAGTCTTCGAGTTTAAAGGCTCCAACTTCCGGGGTTTTCGGTGCTTGTAAGGTTTGGGGCTTAAAGGGAACTCCAGAAAGTTGGAATATGGTTTTAGGGTAGGATACCTTATTATAATTTACCTTAAAGGGGTTACGATAATCATATTCCAACTTTCTGGCTTTTACTTTCGGGGTTTAGGGTTTAGGGTTTCGGGGACGGATTCAGGGGTTTCGCAATTAAAAAAGGCTTAGCGTTCAGGAAAGACCTAGAGTCCTAGAATGAGCATTCCAACCTCTAATGACGGTAGAGAACTGCCTACATGCCGCCCGAATTCATTCCGGCCTATTTTTCCTATTGTTCAGTTCTAGACGAAAGCCCCCGACAACACAGGAAAGCCAAGGCTACTACCGGGCAACTAGGTAATGCTGAACATGCCAGACCTTAATTAACACTGGCGAGTTACCCTCAGGAGGGTGACTCCCTAAACCATGAACACTACCCTAAGGCTCCAAAGTAGCTCCTTTGTTGGGGTTCATATTTAGAATCCTATAAGGTAATCCCAAAAAGGAACTACTTTGGGGCCTATGGGTAAACCCTAAACCCCAACAGCGCCCCACACATAAATCCTAGGCCATCTGCCGCTGCCGCGTGCAAAGCTGCAGGTTTGCAAGCCTAGCTCAAGAACACATCCTAGGATACCCAGTAACCTAAGAATAAAAAGGCCTCTCTTTTTGGTATTGGGTAACTTTATAAGGAACCTAGGACTACAAAAAGGGAACAAGGGTACTACTGGGCATCCTAGGAATTTAGCCTCCAACCCTCAGACATGGTGTGTTCAGTGTGCTCTAACCCTAAACCCCATGCTCCAGCATCCTAAGCCCAACATCCTATATCTCTTTAAGCTCGCTAAGCTCCAAATCCCAAATCATATCTTGCACTATAGGGGCCTGAATAATTACCTCTAGTATTGTGGGGGGTTGGTAGTATGATTATAGTATAATATCCCCCAAAACCCTATTCTAATTATTAAGGCCCCTGTAGTACGTGGATCCACCTTTCTTGGGCGCGTGGCCGTGGTAGTAGCCGTTGTGTGAGCTCGAGGGAAGATAACGCTCGGTTGCTCTGCATCCACGCTTTTGACCTCAGGTGTAACCCCCAAAGGGTCCAAAGTACTGTTACGGGGGATACTTCCCCAAATCATAATAGTAATTCCTAATATAGGAACCCTACATTCTACCATAAAGGTACTTTGGACCCTCTGGGACCCAGACTTTTTCATCTAGACAGGGGTTCCTGTAACGGTTCCTTCAAAGTACTTCTGTAAGAGCTTGGTGCAGGCCTGATGCTTAGAACCAGGATTTGGGGTAAATGGATTATATTTTATTGCATCATGGTACGGGGCCCTACGGAATAGCATTGGTGAAGCAGTAGGTTTTGGGATCCCGAGCTAGGGTATGTATACCTTAATTCATATACGATTTGGGAAGGTCTGTGTTTGCAGTACCAGTTGCTTCTCGTTTAATGGTCGAAGTGGGTTGTGACTAACCTGGTGAACCAAAGTAGTTCCCTTTTGGGTGTGTCCTCTTTTTTGATTAGGGACTCGAATATATTACCCAAAAAAGAACTACTTTGGGGCGCCTGGGTAGCCTGGTGAACCCCCCCAAACTCTTGGGCTTTCATTGGGTGCAAGCCCGAACGCACAGAAACTCACGAACATGAACAGACCGAAAAGGGCCAGATGGCCCGACCCTAGGGATCTAAGGACTGATATATTAAGGATTCTGGGCCCAAAGACCATACTATACAAAGCTTTTGGGCTAGTTTGATCCCTAGGGCGACACCCTCTAGCAATGGCTTCGTCCATCTTCGTCCCCTGTGTTGTAAGCAGGATTGAGACCTTAAGCCGGAATAACCTACCTTTTTAAGGACTTATATAAGGAATTCATAATAAGGGACCCTAAAAACGTAGGTCATTCCGGCTTAAGGGAGGGATCGGGGTCTGCAGGAGTCAAGGTTCATAGCGAAACTTTTGCAAAGCAGATCCCCCGTGCATGTTGTTCTGTTGGCTGCTGTTATGGACTTAACCCTAAATCCTAAGCCCTAAACATCCCTAAACCCTAAACATCCCTGAACCCTAAGCCGACTTATTTCCGGGGCCTTACATCCCTGAAAATAAGCGCAACGAAATGTGGCTGCAATGCTTCACCTGAACGATCTCTTACACCCACACTTCGCATTAAGGCTCCTAAGAGGGTCATGGGCTTTCAGGGCTCAGGGGTTCAGAGATTAGGTTAGGGTTTAGGCTTTGTGTTCGTGACAACTTTAAGGGATTACTATGAAGTAGAATACGGCTTGGTGTAATTACACTTTGCGATCTTTATGTTCGGGACTATAATAGGGGTTTACTATGAAGTACACATTCTGACCCATGGATTAACGCCACGCCCGCACGCAAAGGAAGCCTGAAACCCCAGAATCTCAGATCCTGAAGTCCCAACCTGAAGCGCTCGTCTACACCATTCACAACTAAACCCTTAGAAACCCTAAACCAAGGAAACCACTACATAAACCCTAAACCAAAAGAAACATAAAGCCAAGCCCAACCCCTAAATCCAAAGCTCTGGGATTTAGGGCTAAGGTGTTCAGTAGATATCAAGACAAAATGGAGACCACAATGGACAACGTACTACAATACCTTAAAGGGATTGTGCAAAGCCATCTCCATCTTTAGGATTACGTTCCGAAGCCCTAACATAGAATCCCGATAACGACTAGCAAAAACAGTGCCCGGGCTGCTTGTGGGATCAAGAGACCTAGAAAGCAGGTTTAGAAGTGACAGGCTAGCCCGACATGTATTTATACTTACATTCAAGCTGAAGGTACTTACAACTTACAACCTCACCTTCCTACAGTAGAAGCCAGAAAGTTGGAATATGGTTATCGTAACCCCTTTAAGGTAAATTATAGGGTATCCTACCCTGAAACCATATTCCAACTTTCTGGAGTTCCCTTTAAGTCCAGTGATGCCCCAAGCCTGCAAGGATAACAACTGACCTACGGTTGCAGATTCGGTCTCGGGCTTCCGCCGGCTCTACCGCACCAACGTGCACTTCCATCCTTGACAAAGTTTGGGGAGTGCATCTGTCGGCCCAGGTACAGATACTGCACTGTAACCCCTAATATAGAACGTTGCTATAGATCCCTTATAGACTCCTTCTAAAGGAACCTTATACTCTAATTATTAAGGCTTTCAAGGGATCTCCAGCGCGTCATGTGGGTGTTTGACAGGTTTCGCAGAGGTTTTCAAGGGTTTCCGGTTTAGGGTTTAGGGTTTTGGGTTTAGGGTTTAGGGGATTATAACCCTAAACCCTAAACCCTAAACCCTAGGAGCAGAAGTGGCTTGAGCGCGCTTTCTTTTTCGGGCGTTTCGGGCCGAATCGTTTGTCGAACCTGGGGCTTCAGGCTGCCTAAACCCTACCTTAAGCCGGAATAACCTACCTTTTTAGGGTTCCTTATTATGATTTCCTTATATAAGTCCTTAAAATGGTAGGTTATTCCGGCTTAAGGTATAGCCTATAACTTAGAAGGGGCCCCCACCCTGTAATAGTGGTATAGTAGGAGTATAACAGGGCGCTCATATAATCCTTATAGTCACTATTACAGGGTGGGAGCCTCTTCTAACCTAAACCTTATAACCTACCTCTTTCTAGAGCTAAGGTTAACCTAGGAATAACAAGGGTGCCCTTTTTGGTTTAAAGGGTGGTGTTCTATGGGAACCTAAACCCAAAAACAATGGAATAATGGCCTACTATGGGTCCTAGTTTTTCGGGCTCCTTGTGATGAAATTCCTGAGGCTATTATATATCTCCTCATAGACACGCAGGCTTTCCTTGTGATGACTTCCTGAAGCTATCATTTATAATCGTTTCCCCCTAGTATTAAACGCCCCCCCCCCCCCCCCCCCCCTCCCCCCCCCGCCGCCCTAATTACAACTGGATTTCGGAAGTTTAGTTTTTATATTTGGGGGGGTTTCGGTTCGGTGCATCCACGGATGAGTGGGGTTGACCTCGAGCCCCAAACCCTAAAGCCATGAGCCAAAAACTTTAAGCCCCAAAGCCCCAAGCCCTAAAGCTTCAGCCCTGAGCCCTAAACCCTTAAACCCTAAAGCTCTGGTGTCTTTAGTACTGCTGTAATCTTTGGCTCTATTAAAACTCATACAATCCTAGCCACACCCCCCAAATGTTTTAATTGACTTTCAATTGTGGGCCCGAAACTGCGAACTTCCGGGGGCCGGGAATTTTTATATTAGGGGGGGTTTAATGTTAGGGGGAAGCGACTAGATGTGTACATATATACTTAGAGGCATGCAGGCTTAGGGGTCTACAGGGTCCGGGTGAACCCTAAACCCTCAAGGCTTGCTTGGAACTTGGGGCTTTCGAGCGGCTCAATGTAGATCTTTGCCACTGGCTCAAAACCCAAGGAAATACAATTTGAATTTCAGAAAGGACTACCTCATAGGAACCCCCCTAAACCCTAAACCCTAAACCCCAAACCCAAAAGTTGAAAAGTTGAGTTTGCAGGAAATAAGCTTTGGGGTCTGTGGGACTTCATCAGACCAAACGGCCCTTACCCACAGGCCCCATAGTAGTTCCTTTTTGGGGTTCATATGCAGAACCCAATAAGGTAACCCCAAAATGGAACTACTACGGGGCCTTTGGGTAATAACTAATTACCCCAAACATAGAATCCCTACAGTCTACTATATAAAAACCTATAGGACCTTTGGGCAGGGGCTTCGGAGCTTACCAAGTGGCGCTTTCTCGGGAAAGTGAGATGAGACTTGGAGAAAGGGAGGGGGGGCACCTCAACCATCCCATGTTCAGGCTGGTCTTCACAGTGTCGGCTGACATCAACTTCAATGCTTTGGAAATGGAATGGTGGAGGAGTTCAGGAACCATCTAACACAAACCTGTGCCTCAATTCTGCTGACCGCTTGTCGGCCACACCAGTCTATCTATGTACTAGTTACTTATAGGTCCCCTTTGTGCTGCAAGAAATGCGCGGATGCTGCGTGTTGTTAACTAGTGACCGAATCCGAGCAGGTGTTAAAAATTCGTGTAATAAAGAATTACAAGTAGGTCTGTTTGCCACTTCAGAATGATACAACAGGGTCCCGGGCAGCTTTCTACCGCCCCCTAGCAACGCCCAAAAGACCCCACAGGCGGCAGCAATTACCTAATTACGATACTATATTAAGGTCCCCTACGATCGGAAACTCCCATATACTGTCATGACTATTAAGCTACATAACTACTATCCTGCATGTAAGTACCTGATTAATGGGTCCTTTGGACCCTTAGGGAAAAGCCCTTGATCATGAAGACGATGCGTCCCACTTCTCACATCCGGACTGCATGTCCGAATCCTTCCATGCAACTCCGACTCCCTAAACATCAATTCCTAAACCCTACATCGTGTATATCCCTGAATCGCAAGGAAAGCCCTAAACCCTAAACCGGATCCCACCGAAATCTGCCGAGTGGCTTCTTCGGCAGTTTGCTCGCTGCAGGCGCCGCCATCGGGGCGACATCGAAGCCCTGGAAAGCCATGGCCGGATCAACGCGGGAATCCGGTTTGGGAGTCATACCGTACTAAGATCATAAACATAACCTTCAATTCTGTAGAGTGTGGGTGGTCATGTCCTCATTAGGTTATAAGCGGAACATCGCCTACTATTTTGAAGGGTTTGGGGGAGGGTGACAGGAAAGACGCAAGGCTCAAGGCAATGACTAGATTTGTATAGATGTCACGGGTTTGCAATGCTCAGTAACCAAGAAAGCGAGTATACCTGAACCTTTACCCCGAAACACCAATCATTGTACCGTCGTCCCTTCCATGTGTGTCTAAACTCGTAACTCGTGCATTTCCTTGGGCTGGGCCCCATTAAACCCTGAGCTCCTAAAGCCCAAAGCCCTGCTTCCTAAAGCCCACTTCCGGAAATCAAGTGTTCAGGTGTCAACCTTCCCTAAGGGTCCATGTACCCAAGTAGTATATACTTTGGGCCCAATGTACATATACAGGGAGTACTTTACGGCCAATGTATATACTATATGAGTACATGGACCCTTAGGGCTTTGGACATGCAGCCAAAGATGGTATTCTTTAAGTCCCAAAGGGTCCTATGTACCGATGTAGTAGAATGTAGGGCTTCCATTTTAGGAATTTCTATTATGACTTAGGGAAGTATCCCCCATACCAGTACATGGGACCCTTTGGGAGTAGCTACGGAGCAGAACCCAAGTTGAAGGCAATCAGGGAAGTCTAGGGTTCAGGGCTTCGGGTTTAGGGATTGAAGGCTTGAGGTTTCAAGGGTGTGCAAGACTGGGCTTTTAAGTAACCAGGGAAAAAAGTATAAACCTTGATTTCACAGGGGGTCCTTTATGAAACAAGTATTGAAGTACCTATAGTCTCCATTGTAGTTCCTTTTGTGGTTAACCAAAAACTCTATTGTAGGATCCTAAGCATAAAATTGGTTAACCAAAAAAAGCAACTACAATGGAGACGATAGGTATGGTACTTCAAAGCCCAGAAAAAAGGCCCTCAGTAAAATGGGGACCCCGGACCCCCGAGTCTCGGCTTCGATCCGCAAAAGAGACCCTGAATGTAACTGCTGATGGACAAAATGCCTAGGGCTCTTTCAAGGGATCTATAGGGCTACCCTTAAGGGGTTCCTTTAAGGGATCTTTAGGGCTTAGGGACAAAAATCCTGCATGACCCTAAGGACTCTAAACTATGGGAATTATGGTATCTTCCTTATAATGGGTAATGCAGGATTTTGTCCATCAACAGAAGGACCCCGAAGGAACCCTCTGACAGGAACCCTTTAAAGGGAAGCTTTGAAGGGAACCACTCATAGACTAATAGACACCCGCACATACAAAACTTGGGCATCAGCCGGCGGATTCGGATGGTAGACATCTCCGGCGACATGACCTTCGTCAGTGTATCGAGTTTACATGGTTTTGTAAGGGCTTTTGCGAGCTTGCATGGGTGTGTTGAGACTCCTATCCGTGTTGACAGAGGTTTTGCCAGTTTTGTGTTTGGCTGTTGTCTTTGAAGGGGAGTCTCAAAAGTTCGGATCCCGGCTCAGAAAGATCCTTGCCATCGGCTTCCTACGAGTGCAGGTACTTGGAGGATCATGGGACTTAGTAAAGTTTTAAAACCTTAACTGGGGTTATAAGTAGTTATAAGTATAGTTGCCCTTATTATAACCCTAGTTACTAAGTCCCATGACCCTTTAAGTATATGTCTGGGTTTTACCTACCAGAGTTTAGGGGGTGTTCGGGGTGAAAGCCCCTGCAGAAGCTTTCTGCTGAGCACCTCATCTAACTTGTTGGTAGCCTAAGCCCAAAGCCCCGCAGCCCCTAAACCCTAAACCCCCAAAAACGTTTGAGCTGGCAGCCGGGGGTCCGTGTAAACCGCTGCAACATACAAGAGGCATCATCTTCAGCGCGTATTGCATGTCTGGGCCTGCTTCTGAATACGATGCAAGTATAAACACTGTTACGGCATAAATTATGTATATATATATATACACACATACATAGGTACGTACATACATACGTACATATACACACAACGCCATAGCTATGAACGTATGTATGCATGCAGGAAAGCCCACATGAAGGCAGGCAGGCATGCAGTGTATCTGTGTACCTATGACCGAAATCCTGTAGCCCAAAATACTCGAAGCCTTACAGCCCCAGACTCTCCAGACCCGAAGGCTTGAACCTCTCAAACTTCAAAGCCTGAGTCTAAAGCCCTTCACTGTAACCGCTAGAATGTCCGATAAGTAACCCCAAAGTAGAAGCCAGAAAGTTGGAACATCAGTCTGCTCCCCGCCCTTCAGGTACAGTATAGGGGATCCCACCACTAATCATCCTAAACCCATGTTCCAACTTTCTGGGATTCACTAAATAACCTATAGAAACAAAAAAGGAACTACAATGGAGACTATAGCCTATAGTCTCCGTTGTAGTTCCTTTTTTGTTTAACCAATTATATAATTAGGATCCTATAAGGTAACCCCAAAAAGGAACTACAGTGGAGACTACAGGTAACCTTGCTCGCGAGCAGGCACCCCCCCCCCCCCCGACATTCCGTGATGCCCATTGGGATTCCCATGGGGGGGTCTGGAGCTTAAGGTTTTTGGTTACCTTAACCCTGAAGAACCTACCGTTTTCGGGTTCCCTACCATGATTTCCTTATATAAATCCTTAAAAAGGTAGGTTCTTCAGGCTTAAGGATAAGGTTTAGGGTTTAAGGACAAAGGCTTTAGGGCAAAGGCTGAAAGCTCAAGACACCCATAACAACCCTTTAACATTCTCAAAGGGTCCTATGTACTGGTATGGATACTTCCCTAAGTCATAATAGTAATTCCTAACGTGGAAACCCTACATTCTACTATATCGGTACATAGGACCCTGTGGGATTCAAAATCTTGAATGCGGCAGACATCATTTTCGCAGCGAGCTTGGGTGCTGGCTCGGCTGGCTCCCTGGCACACTTGGCTTTGAGGCCTCCGGGCAGTAGGCTGCTTGCATGGTTTCAGAATGTGGGATTGGGGTTGAAAAATTAGGGATTACGGGGTTAAGATTTCCACATTGTTGAGAATTGGGCCTTGCCTATAGTCCCCATTGAAGATTCCTCTTGGTTACCGAACTTTGTTTTATGGGGTCATGAACACAAAGCTGTTTCACCAAAAAAACCTCCATTACAGACTTTAGGTAGAATCCGGGTTTTAGGACACAGAGTTTACGTTTGGGGCTGTTGGGGACCACATTCATGCAGGCCGGATACTCTTCAGGCCCCTGTGCGCAGCCAAGCACTCGAGACAGTCGTGATGCTCACTTGCTACTATCCTCAGGCTGGCAAGTTTAAGCTAAGAAGTCAGGGCATGCAGTGCCCTTCAAAACCCAACCCAGACTGTACAACGTTGATTTAATTATCGCGGCTCTATAGGTGGGATAATTGTCGGACATTCGTCATGAGCCAATGCGCAATTGCGCATACTCCAGTAACACGTTGTCAGGGGGCCTTGAGAACCCAGAGCCTTTAAAACCCCTTAATTAAGGAATATACCTTGAAGTATGGGATGATTCATGGTATGAGCTCAGATCAAGATATGTTCCTGAATTAAGGGGCTCTGGGAAAGAAAGGCATCGAGGAAAGCTCGGAAACCCAAACCCGAACCTCATTGGAAGCCTGCCTTTCCCTAATCGGATCTTGACAAAGCTCCCCCAGCGTTTTAGGGTTTAGGGTTCCGGGTTCAGTAGAGAGCTCACAAGTGTCCATGCTTCCTGATTGCAGCAGAGGTCGCGGGCGGGAGTCGGCTGTTTTTGCTGCTGGTCCTCCGTATGTTCAGTGGTAGGGCGGCTGCAGCGGTAGATGCTCGCTGTACGATGGAGTACACCCCTGCACCTTTCAAACCGCTAAATGTTTCCTGGCGTTGAAGGTGTAGGGCTGTCTAGAACACCGAAGACCGCACTCTTGCGCGCCTTGACGGGCGACGGGAGGTGGCCCCGAGCTATCCTGCGGCAGGCCCAGGGGTGTTTGAGGTTTTTGTAGATTAGAATTACAAAGATAGTGTCTAGGTTGAGAACTTGAGGTTTGACATACATGCATACATAATACAGATCCGACATGCATACATCTATCCATGTATATACACATATACTCACATACATAGACAGAAAGACAAGCAGATAGATCTAGACATCTAGATAGGTAAATAGAGAGATAAATCTAGACAGACAGTTCGACAGATAGATAGATAGGCATGCTGACGATCGTGATGAGGAGGATGATGAAGCGCTCTGCGAGCGCCAGGCTCGAATATGAACTCAACGATCGCCAAACGACACCGAATATTCAGCCACTGCCGAATATGAGGTCGTCACGCTTGTCTCGTATTCCGCGTAGGCATGGTTTATAGGCGAAAGGGACTTTCGAAAACATCATTCTTGTTGGTGATGACAAGCAACCCTTAGAAGTAGTGTAGCTCGTTTCTGGGCCCCCGGGCAAGCGTTCCATAGCCTCTGCCGCCGCCTGCACACCGAGCGCCACAGCCTCCTTGTAGCTCATGCCTCGGATGAAGATGAATATGTGGGGGCCTTAATAATTAGAATAGGTTTTGGTGTATATTATAGTATAGTTACATATCCCAAAAACGTGTCGATAATTAGTAAGGTCTCTATATTCTTCTGAGTAATACGATACCATGATATACTATGATATGCCATCATGCACTATAAAACTGAGCATACTATAACATACTACAGTTTCTGGTGATATAAAGAAATCACGGATTAGCCCAAATGTACTAAGCTTTAAAACATGTTAAAAACCCAAACCCTCGACCTTAACACCTGGAGACACCATAAGCTCTTCATGCAAACGAAAGCTAGGGCAGAGTGTTAGACGTTGAGGCATGAGGTCAAGGGTTAATCGCTTAGCGTCTTGGGGTTTTTGGTCTTTCATTTATTTAAGCTAAGGTAGGAACCTGAGAAAGAAACCCTGG